TCCAGAAATGACGTCATGATAGAACCAAGTTTTATCGTGAAATAAACGACGCTTCGTTCTTCATTGTGCTTTGCGATCTATCAGGATGCTTTCGGGGAATTAGCCACGGGATCAACACACCTTCAAAGACAAACAGAGAGAGGTTCTCAGGCAAAGCAGGAATTTTTATTAAATGTTTTCATCATAATCAAGCATATAGACATAGTCAGACAATCTCCTTCATCATCATCAAACACAAAGACATAATCAGACAAATAATTAAGCGGTGATACAAAAACTGTTAAGATATTCGTTGTTATATAATAGGCATGAGTTAATAAACAATTACTTGCTATGTGATTTCACTTTGAGAACAATGCATTAACTTCAGAGACGTCTCAGTACCTATTCCAGTTACAGCCTAATATAACATTGCATAAGATTACGTAACACAAAAAATACCATTTGTAAAATAATAACAAAGTGTAAAGTGTAAGCTCAACTCATTGGATATTCATTTATATCATAGCAGTTAACATTTGATATAATGCAGATATTATAATCAATTCACATTAAATTACTCATTGATAATTACTCATAATGTATTTAAGGTACTCATAAATAACATCTGAACAAAGTTTACAAAAAGCATTCATATGAAAGATTATAACAACACCTTTCTTGAACAATGACATGTCTAATAACTTATTCTACGTTAAATACGGTACATGTGACGTCATGAACTATAGGTGGTTCAGATGTACACTTCAGAGTTAAATAGTGAATACACGATTTAATACGGTAAATAATAATGGGACCTGCATTCAATGACTGAATACATTATACTAAATTCAGATAACAGCTATGCGCAAAATGATTAAATACGGTACGTGACGTCACTGCCGAGCGCTGGCGAGTGTGCCGTTATGTAACAATGAGCAGTGCCGCCTGTGCATGCCGCGCAATGCGGGCCGAGCTTATACAAATCACACATGACTGAATACCGTATTTGAAACTTGAAAATATATATGAATTAAAACTGATTATTAGTGAACGTATATTCTATTGTGAATGTTTATGAACCTTATTGGAGATTTCGCCAAAACAGAGAAATTGCTTGTGAACTGTAATTTAGAAATGGGTGTAAACACTGCTATAGGAAAGCCTGTTTCATTATAACTATTCTACAACATAAAACTACTACGTTATCTGTAGCGTCCAAATTATACTTAAAGTATAGTATCTGAGATATTCTATACAGCGTCCATTCATCTTACGGAATGGAAATAATATGCATAAATTGGAAAACATAAATTTATCAGGCATTGCTTAATTTGCGTGCATTTATCTAGAACAAAAAGTTACGTTCAAGTATTGTAGTCCAGTGATATGCCCTCACAAAGTAGTTACCTAATGAGAAATATATTTTGGGCTACAGATAAGAATAATATACTTTGCTGTACTTGCACTGATCTGGTTTTGTATATAAAGAATATATTTGATGCGTGAACATTGGATATAAGTTATATTGTTGAACCGTATTTACCAGGCATAAGAACGCAAACAAATATACATAACGTAAATTATATCGAGTAACTGGATCATGTTAATGCATATTTACGCATTTAACGTTGTGCATTATAAAACCACTCTACTAACGATACAGCATACAATAAGGTAAATAACACGACACACATATGAATACTGGGCCTACCGATACACGGACAAATAATTCATACATTATTATAATGCATGCTATTCACATTGAAACATGATTATTATGAAGCATCCACGGCACCCGTGATTAATAATCATTTGCCTAGTAGTTTTAACCCGATAAATAAACATGTGGGATACGAGCGCTGATTGTGAAATAGTAATATTTCTACATGAGACGCACGCATATAAATTACTGTAGTTAATTTGTGTCAGTAATACTTGAATAATATGCAGCTTAGATTCGAACGGCATTTCGAATACATAGAATATAAGTTCATTGTTCAAGCAAGATATTCATACAAATTTAAAGACAATTTTAAGCAAGTTCAACCTAAATGGCAAAGTAACAAGTAAAAGTGACTTACCTTCAAAGACAAACAGAGAGAGGTTCTCAGGCAAAGCAGGAATGACTAACAGTCGATTTCCCCCTATATTTATACCTGAGACCTCCTTTGTTAATCTGAAGGCAAGTCTACACGTGCATGTCCAGTTTGAAATTTGAGACTTTGGACTAATAAAGACTGGACATGTTATACAATTTTGTATGATGGGTTTGGTTTGTTAATAGCCAAAGCAGACGGTCAGTTTGGAAAGTTGAGTAATAGAAGATTATAAATGCCGATAGAATCACTCAGCTCGTGTTTGGTTTCGCGTTTTCAATTTTCTAGTTTGGTCAGTTGACGCTTAATAGCTGATAACGGTACACTGGTAAGTGCCAAACGCGCTGACCACAACAAGTTGTTATTCAACATGTAATTAAAGTTTCGCCCACCGACCTGTTTCAGGCGGCTTAAGTCTGAAGTGCCAGATGTTGTTATACAATTTCCTATCGCTAGTATGTACCGACAGGTCTTAAATGGTTAACCGACAACTTATGAATTGAGGGCGAATTTGACAAAAAGTTGAATAAAATATAGCAATTTTAGCACTGTTACAGATACAAAGAATGAATTTGTTCATGAGACGAACTGTATCTAGTTTTCTGTAAATAAACAGAGTTATTGGGACTTTGTGACGACTAGTCATTTATTGAGTTCATCTTTTTTGAAACTACTGTTTCGAACAGAGATGTATACTTCTTCGGAATGTTGATTCTACCATCAAGTCACGTGATTCGGGGGTTCCATGAGATTGTAAATGCGCATGCGTAGATAGTGCGACCTCGTGGCGTGGACGGAGCAGCACTGGAATTATCTTGCTCGAGATAAATTTCGTTTTCCGAGTTGATTTTTGTCTCAGGATAATTGATTGCCGAACCCTAGGTGGTCGCATTTATAGCAGTTTTGCCGTTTGACAACCTGCGGAGTTGTCCGAATTTCCAATATAATATTGACTTACCTCGTGGTTGTCCACCGGAGAGAGAACAGGTAAGTCTCGTTTAATTTACTAATAATGTGGTAGCCTCACTTTCAAGTAATGGTTCAATGTGTAGTTCCTTTGCCATGGACGTCGATGCTGAATGGACACGCCCATTGTGGAGAGCACTACGTCGACACCATTTTCGTTACTTTGGCCATCTTTCAAATTCATGTTTCCTTTAAAACATACTTTTCTATCATATGAATCATATGGAAAGCTAGCATGAATTCTTTTGACCACAATGCCAAAATCCTATGATCGTAGTTTCGAAGATTCGATCTGCTGATGTTTCGAGGTTATTTAGTTTTATACTCGTGGGTTTCACCAAATAGGTTAACCTCTAAGAGCTGCACCCTGCATCACTTTCATCCCACATCAAGCTTACACTTACTCAAGGAAGTCAGGGGAAATCAAATTTGCTTAATTTGTTTTTATGAAACACACAGCATGAACATTAGTCCACGCATTAGGTTTGTTTGTTTGTTTGTTGTTTAACGCCGCACTCAGTAATATTCCACGCAATTGGGATCGATGACATGCATCAACCAAGTCAGCGAGCCTGACCACCCGATCCCGTTAGTCGCCTCTTACGACAAGCATAGTCCCTTTTACGGCAAGCATGGGTTGCTGAAGACCCTTTCTACCCCGGATCTCCACGGGTCCTACGCATTGGAGATACAATGACATGCAAACATGTCAGTGAGCCTGACCACCCGACCCCGTTATTTGCATGGTTTGCCGAAGACTTAAAATGTACCCTTTACTTCCTGTTGTACATGAATCTTGGTATCCGATGACTCATTTGGATGAATATATGGCAAACCCGACTAATGAGGACATTGCCTGTATAATTTTGAGTCTTCCTGATTTAAATGGAACATATTGACCATACCTGTCTATAGCATTACCGAGTCTGGCGCAGGAAAGCCAGTGAACGGAAACAAGAACCACGATCCATGTCGTCGGGGACCGATGGCACAGAGCCTGATCCACCGATCAACATTTTAGTCGGCTTGTATGACAAGAATGATGTACTTGTAATCTATTCTCCACCAAACAACAACAGTGAGTTTTATGATCTTTAGGAATATACTTTCTCACGATAGTGTTGCAGAGGTAAAATGTTTTTCGTTGGAAAAGGTTACAAAAGGCAATTATAATCAAAATAAGCAGAGCATTTTTAACGCACCACTCATCAACATATCCAGATATATGAGGGCGGTCTAGACTGACAATCCAAGCAGATTATGAGCAACGAATTAAACCATCGGGGTAAGATTCCTCGCAATCAACCGAACCTGATATCCCGATCTATTAGATCGCCTTTAACGACCATCATAGGTTGCTGGAGACCAATTCGAACCCGGAATCCCCACCCTCCATCAACCCAATAAAACCTTAGAATAATTTAAGCCCCATTATTTGAAATGAAAAACGTTTTGAGTAAGAGGCGTCTATAAAATCACAACGTTATGCATAAGGACAAATACTCAATTAATTACCCCCACGGCCTTGAAAATGTCACAATGCTGCGGTATAAGAAATATTCACTCGCTGATATAATGCGAGAAATTATAGGATCTTATGGTGCTCATTGTAATTGCATGTGCGAGAGCAATACTGATATTATTCAGCTTAATCTGTGTATGTTCGCCATGATCGAACATAGAGTTAGTGAACTTGGAGGCCCGTGTGTAGTAATCTGTATAGTATTATAGTTATCTTCATTTAATGTCAGACTTTCCTCATTTGGTGTTGAGTATCGGTGCTGAAATGTTTGGAAAGAATTATTAATCTCACGGGAACCAAATTAGAATAAATTTGGATATTTCAGTACCAAATTAAGGTAATATAATGCCTGAGTTCCCTGTCAGAGATAGAAAGGTTGTAAAATGAACGTTATTCTTCTATGTGTATTCTTGTAAAGGCCAAAACAAGCTCTGTTTTGCTGTCAGGTAAGATTTATTGTAGAGTGACATGATGCCTCTTGGTTCATCATATCCAATCTAATACTGTATCATCTTGACTGATCTGATCTTCATGGCAACGTCTTCACCATGCCAGGTAGACTGCCACTGGTGCTTGTTCTTCCAGAAGTCCATCATGGCGGTGTGGGAGCTGTCCCTCCACGGTTTGCCATTCTGATTATGCCACGAATCTTGGAAATAACCATCTGTGGCACCCACAGCAACGTTCAAGATGAGACCCATCTGAAACCAAACATTCAACTTTGATTTTGACATCTGAAAGGGAAGTTTGATTCATCGGTAAACGACTGAACTGTGTACATCACGTTTTTCCGTATAAAGGAATTTTAATCAAGCCCAAACTGCCTACACAATGTCCACACACTAAGATCAATAACAGTTTTGTAGTTTTAAGTTTAAAACTTACCGGTCCATCAAAGGGTGCGTTTTTACCACCCTTGGCCCAGGGATTGGTGCCAGAGAGATGACTGTATGAGAAAAATCCGTTGGAAGGCGTCGACATGATCTCCACAGGATGGTGATCTATTTCAAACCTGATTGAAGAAAAAAACACAATTTTTATCTCGCTGCTTACCACATTGAATTGCATGTATACAGTACAAAGGGGAACACAAGCTACCTGAAATGTCTCGAACCTATTGACTGCATAAAAAGCTTTGTAGATACATTGAACATAATCAACTGCTGATTGAACATCTTAATTGAAAGTTTACGTAACTTTTTATAAATATGCATGATGAACATAGGACTTCCTCATTGTCTTTTTCCTTTTGAAAGATCAACGTCATCTTTCGTCCAACCCACCTTATGTGGTCAGCTGTCCAGTCAAGGCCGTATGTGTGGAAGCCATCGCCCCATGAGCCAGTCCTGCAGCAGATCACAGCTCACAGTCACAGCAACTTACGGAAAGAGCCTGCACGTATGATACACGTATGATTTGATGATCAGCCCCAACCTATTGCTTTCAGTGGTTGCATAAGTGAGATTTTATGCTACTATGGACAGTTTTATAGTCACAGCTTGTCAGTTTCATGTGAAAGGAAAGTCCGAAGTGATGCAGGTCTTAGACATTTATCATGAGGACGGGGATGAGGGCAGGGGATGAGGACGGGGATGAGGACAGGGATGAGAACGGGGATGAGGACGGTGATGAGAGCAGGGATGAGGACGGGGTTGAGGACGGGGAATGGGGACGGTGATGAGAGCAGGGATGAGGACGGGGAATGGGGACGGTGATGAGAGCAGGGATGAGGACGGGGTTGAGGACGGGGAATGGGGACGGTGATGAGAGCATTGATGAGGACGGGGTTGAGGACGGGGAATGGGGACGGGGTGAAGACGAGAATGAGGACGGGAATGAGGACAGGGATGAGAACGGGGATGAGGACGGGGATGAGAACGGGGATATGGACGGGGATGAGAGCGGGGACGTGTCCAAGGTTCATTGAACAATTCCGATTACTACCATATGAAAGCATACGCAAGCATGTGCATAACGAAGCACAATGTATTTGTAGTGTAGTTTGACACTGACAGGTATTTGTCACCGTTTTCACTTAAATGTCATTATAAGGCGCCTAGCATGTCCTCTTTAAGATAAATAAGTTTAAGTCAGTTGGTGACATGGTTCATACAGTAACATGAAGATCAATCACAGTATGCACAGTATAAAGGATTGGTGATAAGACGCAGGACTACAGACGCTGAATGAGACTGTTGCCGGTGCTGGCTTGATGTGCCCCAATGGAGCGTCGACAACGCCACGTGAACACCATGGTCATGCCCACCTGTGTCCTTTAGATTCACGTTACCTTTGAATGAGAGAAGGCAAGTGTAAACCTTTGTATTCCATCAAGTGAATTTTGTTTGATTTCCATGGAATTTCTATTTAACCTGCTGTCGAAACCACGTCTGACATATCGCCCATGTAGAGTTCATGCATTGTATAGAAATATCAAATTTATTTGACGCCAACGGTAGTAAGATAAACAGGACTAAGAATTTATGAAACCAAAGATGAATGCGTACATTCCTTTGTAGTATCATAATCGAGGGACATCTCCATGAACATGATCTACCTTATTTTTTATGAGTTCATATGTTACTTAAAAAGCTTCTTTAACAAAGGCAACTGCATGAATGATTTCATCTGCTTTAGAAAAAGGAAACGTGACTGGAAAATATGTAGACGAACTGCATTCCTGTTCAAGTACAAACTCAAAATACAGATTCTATCCGAGGCATTTTCCAACAGAAACAAACACCCATGCGCTAAAACACCGCCTTTTCATTTAGACCATTTAATTGACAATGCATGTATTCAATGAACAACGAGGTCCACGCAGTTCAGAGTACAGAATAGTTGCACGTCGACCTGCAAGACGTTACATCCTGAGCCAACATCACCGTGAACGGCCCTTATGGTGTAACTGGCATCGTATAATGCCAAAGCTATGGTGGAGATGAGTCCTGTGTACCAATGAATCACGTCCAGGTGACGGGATGGTGGAGGCAGAGTGTACCGTCGACGTCATGAACGTTACGCACCCAACTATATACAGCAAGTGGATCGATTTGACGGTAGAGTTATGTTGTGGGCAGGTATTCCTGACCTACACAATGGCCATACAGATGTTGTGCACAATGACTGGGGTTCGTCACAGGGATGAAATATTAGGACATCATAATGAAAGGTTATTAACAGACATGGAGGAATAATTCAGCAAGACAATGCCAGACCTCGTGGTCCCCGGGCACATCAGGAATTCCTTCAAAGACTAATTCAGCTAAATATTTCAGCTAAAAATAAAAGCGACAAAACCCTTTCCATATTCGCAAGAAATCTCTGCAAATGTAGCATCATTGTAGGATTCCGTCTACATCATGAACATGTCTTTATGAATCACTATCCAATAGGGCTAACTCCTTCGGGAGTGCTATTGCGAAAATACACGTTGTCTGAACCATAATGCGTGTGTTCGTGTTTAAGTGTTGTACGTTTCCCAGGCCCCGTGCAGCTGGAGTGAGTGAGTGAGTGAGTATGGTTTTACGCCGCTTTTAGCAATATTCCAGCAATATCACGGCGGGGGACACCAGAAATGGGCTTCACACATTGTACCCATGTCGGGATTCGAACCCGGGTCTTCGGCGTGACGAGCGAACGCTTTAACCACTAGGCTACCCGACCGCCCCCCGTGCAGCTGGAGGTTTCCCAACCACTTAAACAGCAGACAGTGAGCAGGTAATGACGGTTGCACTATTCCCGAGTGATGGTGGTAGCAGGAGCATGTGGAAGTGGATTCTCGGCAATATGCCTTCGTGTTCGACTGCCGTGACCTAGCACCATGAAACTATTTTCTTACCTCTCGATTCCATGATGTCTATTTCTCCGGAAGTTGGCCATCCACCATATTTCCAAGGTTTTGATGGTGGAAGCATCCAGATAGCTTTGGGGTGGAATTCATAAGTTAAATAATTACAATCGATATGTTGTTTGTTTTCAAGTTGTAACATCAGAGCCGTCAACTTCATCAGTCAATATATACTGAACCGCAAAAGAAACGTCACCCCAAGTATCATTGCATGAAAAGTTTTCATTTACATATCTGAGTAATTTCAAAGTTTCTAAAATTTAACATTTCCTTGTCCGAAAAAATGAAATTTGATGATAAAACAAAGCAGATGACAATAAAACCGATCGCCAAGACGCATCACGGCAACGGCCATGGTAACTCGATGCACGTGAGTTCCGTGCAGATTGAAATGCACATGCGTTGCCACATTTCTTGCCCTATAAAAATCCACCCAGATCGGATAACATTCATTCGTTATTGAATTGCTACCACATGCCAATGCAAGATTGACAAGAAATCAGCGACACCAAGCACTTGGACGATTGCAAGCTGGACAAACCGCCCAGCAAGTAGCCAATGCATTTCAAGTCCACGTAAGGACCATATACAGGCTCCAGCAACGGTACCAGACCACCAACACTAAAGATGAGCGACAACGTAGTGGAAAACCAAGGGTCACCACCCGACGTCAGGATCGTCAGATGGTGGGACAGCATCTTGAAGATCGCTTTGTTACTGCTGCTGAAACTGCTCGACAGATCATGGGGACACACCAGCGACACATTAGTGCGGACATCGTGCGTCGACGATTGACAAGCAGACACCTCAACTGTCACACGTGGACCCATTCTGACACCACGTCATCGCCGGGGCCGTCTTCATTGGGCAACACAGAACCAGCATTGGCGCCACCAGCAGCGGAGAAGAGTCCTCTTCTCAGATGAGAGCCGTTACTGAGAGTCTGGCGACGCCGTGTGGAACGTTACTCGGATGCTTGTGTTGTTGAGAGAGACTCGTGGGGTGGTCCGAGCATCATGGTGTGGTGTGGAATTGATCTTGCACAGAGGGTCAGCCCTGTGGTCATCCAGAACATCGGTCCAGGGAGAGGCAATGGTGTCACAGCAGCTCGGTACATTGATCATGTCTTGAGACCACACGCCAATACCTCATTTGGCACGTCTCCGCAACCACGCGTTTCAGCATGATAACGCCCGTGCCCACACTGCGAGAGCAACAAGAGAATGGCCTCAGAACCATGCAGTGGCCTGCCCTCAATCCGGATTTAAATCCCACTGAGCACCTGTGGGACGAGATTTAAAGACGGCTGAATGACGTCCGACCAAGGCCGACAACTGCAGCTGAACTGCGTCAGGCGTTCCTCAGAGTGTGGGCTCAAGTGCCTTTGGCCTTCATCAACCGCCTCATTCATTCCATGTATCGACGTTGCCCGGCACTCATCAATGCACATGGCGGGCACACGAGATACTGACTTGTGATGCCATTTTCTCAGAGACTAGTGTTGTGTTTCACTTTAAGAACATTTGACACTTTAGTTTCACCCTTGATGATCAGTTTTGCCAATCTTCATCTTTTTGATATGTCTCAAAGTATGTTTACAGTATTTGGACAAATAAGTTTTCTTATATATCTATCCATGGTGACGTGTCTTTTGCGGATCAGTATATAAGAACTATAGAATCGGTTTGCCACATGTATGTACGACAATAATTATATTGGTGATCAACTGAAGCTGTTTAGTGTATATGAAAATAACTTCGATGGTTAGTTCCAGTTACATATTGTTTTCAATCACCTTTCTCGTCAGAAAAATATTCAATTGTGTTACTGTGTTACTGTATTAGTTTTGAAACAAAATAGTCACAGTCGGAGCATATTCACCTGGCCATAACCAATCTCCTTTAGGTAACTCTGCAACAACTTCGATTCTTCCGTAGGTGATGGAAGCTTTTGAGTAGAGTTTAGCCGACATGATTGGTGGGATATTATTCTTCGATCCCTGACGGTGACATCCACTGTCACTTTGATACGTACACGTTCCCCATTGCTCTGGAACAGATAAATTACTGACACACTGCAATGACAGACGTCTACTACTACATTCTAGAGTGAGTAAATATACGACCCAGTTCTAGCTACGACCCAGTAGGCAAGAGTCCATTTAAGACACAGTGGCCAACTAAAAATGGACTCTGGACCAGAACAACAGTGGTGGTTTATATACAGTAAACTACGTTTATAACGAACACGCTTATAACGAACTAAGGTTATAAAGTAAGAGTAGAATTTATGTATGGGCAAATCCTTTATTACAATTAAGACCGACGTTTCGGTGTAGGTTCTAACACCGTTATCAAGCAAGTGATACACAGAGGGTGACTGACTGATATAGAAGATTTAACGTGCGCTTTCCGACTGCAGCGTATTTCGCACACGGGCCTGGCCGGACCATTTAGTGTATTCCGAGAAGGGTGAAAGTGGTGTGTGCAACACAAGAGGGGGCTTTTAGGGGTTGCTTATATCGATTTTTTGAAATTTTAAAATTTGGAATAAATGCCGAGGTGGGTGGAGGAGGGAACTAAGGGAGCCGGGTGAGGTGGGTGTTTGTATGTTTATTGGATTTTGGATTGGTAGATTAATTAGTTTTTAGATGCGCTTAATTAGGCCTGTTTTGATTAGGAATACGCCTAGGGCCTTGAAGTTTTCTAGTTTATTTTGAGGGTTTAGTATTTCATCTAGAGTAGGAACCTTATTTAGATTGAGGGTGGTTTGTAGTGTGGTTCTGTGTGTTTGGTAGTGGGTGCAGTGGATGAGTGCGTGTTTCGGGTTGTTTGCAGTGAGGGCAGTTGCCTGTGGTGTGTCTTTTAAGTTGTTTTAGGTGGTTATTTAGGTTCGTGTGTCCTGTTTGGAGTTTTGTAATTAATCTGTCAATTTTTTTAGAGGGGTGTAGGATTTTAGGTTTGGCTAGTGGTTTTCTGAGCACTTTTTGGATTTGGCTAATTGAGTTTTGATATTGATTATGCCATTATTTGGTTATTTTTTGTTTGTTTACACTTTTAATTTCTGATTTTGAGATGGGTAGGTTTAGGCTTATTTCTGGTATTTTGAGAGATAATTTAGCTGCTTTATCGGCGCTTTCGTTGCCGTAAATTCCTACTTGGGCGGGGATCCACAAGAAGGTTATTTGTTTGCCTGCTTTTGTTAGGTCGTTGGAGCTTTTAAGTATTTGGTTTATTAATTTAGGTCGTTTTTTGGTATTTTTGTTTTGGAGGGCTTGTAGCCCACCAAGCGAGTCAGTGAGAATTAGGATTTTTTTGTTGTTTTTTGATTGTTGGTTATGCAGGGCTGAGGCCATGACACAGAGGGTGATTGACAAGTATGTATATAGTAGGAGGCAATGTTTATACAGTAGAGTAGATATTGTTATACTGGAGTAGAGAAGCCTGTTATGTACACACAAGGGTAGTGATTACAATCATCGTAGAAGTAAGTGACATAAACAAAGGATGAAGCCAGTAATATAAACAACGGGATTATGACTGATAAGGGTCTTTGATGAATTGATGGTACGCCGGGGCTATGTGATAGCCTTGGTCACGGTTGATTGAGGACTTACGTTTTGATATGTTGCAAAATGCCTGTTATTTTAATTGTTCATTTTAAAAAAAAAATGTAATAATGATGTACAGCAGGGTGAGACTGTCTGTCTGTGCATTTCTGCCAAAGCAGAATACCGTTTCGTGTCTCCAGTTCCATTTCGTCCAGATCATACCAAATGATTAATATGTTCACTCACTCATTGATATATAATTTACAGTTTTCACTCAGTACAGTGTATGTAAATATAGTTCACCAATTGGTTGTGTCATTATGTTATGTGACATATTCACCAATTAGTTGTGTCATATGTGAGATGCCCCCCTCCATCCCCTATTGTCTTACCAATCATCTAAGCGCGAGTGAATTTGGACAAGTTGGAAGACCCTCAATAAACCACCAGGCAGACTGGGCGACGGCCCGATTATTGTAATTCCGCAGCGCGTCAAACTCCGGGAACCCGTTTTAACCCCATTAAGGTGAGTCATCTCAGTGTCGGAATCCTACGTTTGGGGGACGATTTCACCTGTTGTTTTTATCGTCTGTTTTACGCCATTTCCCTTTTTCAAATATTATTTTGGTCAAGAATTTGTGATTAAGTAATACCCTAAAGTATTAACATCAACAAAGTTGCTATGTTGACTTTACTTGCCCTTTAAAGCATTGGTTACTTTGAGTCAATTCTACCCTGGAATTCCAACGCACTAAGTCACGGAGTTTTAATTTCTATGGGCTCATATTGATGTATCTGATAACAAAAGACCCTAGGGTAAGATTACATTTATCATCAAAAATCATTCTCCCAACATTTCCAAAAATATTCAACGCGTTTTCTATATCTATAACACACAATGGGCAGTGTCGAACACACAAAATCAACATTTTGCAATCTACCGTACTTGATTATTTAAGTTTAACAGCATGCCTAAGCTTTACTAAGTTTAACGTCAATTGCAAATGTGCTCACACTAAAAGTATGAGAGAAGGAAAGCGTTTTTGACGGTCCAAGTTTTCTAGGTTCAATGTATCGTGACCTTCACCTCTTACTCACGAAGCATGTTGTCGTATGGTTCTATCTATTAACTGTTGCTATCTGTTCTATGTATTCACAACAGCTGGTCTTATCACTTCACCTTTAGCCTAATTCGTGAATGCAGGCCCTTGAATTAGTTGCTTTCAATTTGAATGTTCACTTTTCGTTATAGCGATACAAATGCGAATTCTTGTCACGTAGGTTGGTCAAATGCGCTCGAGACATTCACAAAATTTATCCAGACGGATGGGACGATAAATTGAAATGAAACTCACTGCTAACGTCCAAATCTCCATGGTTAAGGAAGTTTTCTCCAAACTTGTCAGCCGTAAGTGTCTGAATAAAACAATGGAAAACATGACACATAAGTAAGTGGGTATGGTTTTACACTTCTTTTAGCACTATTCCATCGATACCATAGCGGAGAAAACCAGAAATTGAGTGCACACATTGTACATTTGGGGAATTGAACTTTCATATCTAAAACTAAGCTAATACATTCAGTTTAAACATATTTTATTCAGCTTTACTTGAAAGGCTTTGAAAACCGGCCTTACTGGCTTATTTAAATACCACTCCCTGTTACATTTGAGTACACATCAAGGCTTTAAGGTCAAGGAAGAAATACAAATTGTATAATAAGAAGACCACTTTTAATACATAAATTATACATAATATCAGTACCGGTTTGATGTAGAGATAGCCGTTTTTGATGTAGGTGTTGGCTGCTTCTGGTGTGTACATCTGGAACTGACCACCCTGATAAAAAAGTAGCGAACATATTGTTAATATGACTGTAAATACATAATACACGTTTTAATTTAAAAAAACTCACTTAAGTGTCACCTTACAACAAATTACTCTAATTTATAAAGTATAACAAATAGCTGCCTCACTTATGAACCAATATGTTAGTAGGGATAAACAATAATGATTTCGAATGTGGATACCCTCTGACCAAACTGAATTGGAAAGTGATTCTCACCCCTCCTCCCCAGCAAGTGACTTCATGCTTCCATTTGCTACTATCGAGATGGTTACTGTTGAAGACGTCATACATGACGGTATGGCTGCGCCTGTATAGCCGGGGGCTAAGAGATGAGGCAGCTGGATGACGATATACATAGAATATCATAATGTGGGTGATTAATACATCAAGCATAGCTTTAAGGAGGGTTATGTTACTCAAGAGAGACAGTTTACTTCTGAATCGGGTCCTAAACGTTGCACTATTTTATGTGACAAATGCTGTTTTTTTTTATTTAGGATTCTATTCAACGGGGCAATCTTAAAATTGTTGTAAAATATTTCATCTGCTACTGAACTACTTACCGGGAACGGTATATACGTCCGCAAGGTGGTATACGACGTCGCCACTTGTAGACAGATATTTTATTGCATACTCCAGCACTTTTTTGTCAGTAAATGCTTCCTCAGTTGGAACTTTGTAAGTGAAAGATCCATGTGCTGAAACAGGTTTGAATTTCGCAGAAGGATCTCCTGGTGATATCTGTCACAGAATGATTTTGCAGAACAAGCATTTGCTGAGTGATCTGGGTCTCCTGGAGCAAAAATCCATTGGATGACTTCCTTGGGGAAACAGTAAAAGAATGATACCTCACCGAATGATCTCTTGGAGTAAACGGTCAGTGAATGATCACCAGCAGTGAACAGTCACTGAGCATCCCCTTCGTTAAACAATCACTGAAAGATCTGCAGGATCTACCACTCACTGAACGATCTACTTTAGAAAACACTCACTGTGTCATCACCTGAAGAAAAAAGTCACTGAAAGAGCTCCTGATGAAAACGCTGAGAGATCACCCGGAGAAGACAGTCACTCAAAGAACTGGAGCAAACACTCACTGAACGATTTCCTGGACAAAACCTTCAATGACTGATCACCAAGAGCAGACATTGAGCGATCTTCTGGAGAAAACAATCACTATATTGTTTTCAGGTCAGCGTGTTTTTGAACATTTACATGTACATTTCTTTGAATTATTTTTTGGAATGCAGCAAACGGAAATAAACTAAGATGTAGTTCTGAAGAAAAAAACATTCCTGCGATGATAAGTTTTAAACATAAGACGATATACGAGGGGCGTTCAATAAGTTATGCAACTTCAATATAAGGCCAAGTCGACTATTTCCTGTTCCGGCAAATGAAGGATGACGAAGACATAAAGGCTGCCACAGAGGCGTGGTTAGAAGGCCAATCTGCGGATTTCTATAAAAGTGGTATTAAAAGCTTGAAGGACAAATGGAACAAGTGTATCGAGGCGAATGGAGATTATATTCATAAATAAAAGTGCAAAAGATATTCTGCAAATTGGTCTTATGGTGAAGTTGCAAAACTTATTGAACGCCCCTCGTATGTTTCATTGGGGTTACAAGCTTAATGTCTTTGCCCCTTATTGAGTTCAATCAACAGGAATTCATTTGACAAAATGCCAACTGTTCTAACTTTGATTCTCTGCACTATTCGGGGGATTGCTTACCATGTTTATACACCCTCACAGTGTTGATCACGGAATGTATTTGTGCACCTTGGTCATGGAGTGAGTAGGCCAACTCAACTGTATCAACACCAGGGATCTCTGCCAACAAGACAAAATGTTACATTATTTATCGAATTTGTTTCAAATGGTATGCAAACATTCATTGATGGCTTTCATAATGGTACGGGCTTACGAAATGACAATTTCCCATTATATTCTGATATTGTTCTATTATTAAGAAATAACAGTATGTATTCCCAACTATAATCATGTTTACCTCATGATTATTCGGAATGTAACAACAACATACCTTAAAAAGACACTCCGGTTGTGCACCAACCGTGTATTTGATTTGGTTGGTTTGTTGTTTAACACCGCACTCAGCAATATTCCAGCTATTTGACGGCGGTGGTGTATTTGAAGATAAGGTGTGTCTTAGTCACATACTACTGACAAAGAGTACACCTTCTCTATTTCTCTTCCACTCCTGTAAACGTGCGCGACATACAAGGAGATACAGATAGATAGGCTGTACAAGAAACATACAAAATCATTATCCAAAAACATTGAGAATTTAATATATATATACACTGTACATATAAAATAACTCTTTACTTGATTTTGGGACAATACACCAGGAGTTATCATTTGTTTGTTGTTTGTGTGTTTGTTGTTTAACGCCGCACTCAGCAATATTCCAGCTACATGACGGCGGTCTGTAAATAATCGAGTCTGGACCAGACAATCCAGTGATTGACAACATGACCGTCGATCCACTCAATTGCATCAACCAAGTCAGCGAGCCTGACCACCCGGTCCCGTCAGTCGCCTCTTACGACAAGCATAGTCGCCTTTCCGGCAAGCATGGGTTGCTAAAGACCTACCCTACCCCGGATTTTCACGGGTCCAGTTATCATTTAACTTATTAAGTGACAAATGTGTCTATGTAAAATATTTATCACCACGACATAAGCCCAACATGACAGATCTAATATGTCTGCTTAAGGTGTATGTATAAATTATGTAGATAAATTTTAGAGATACTGATACTGCGATTACCTATGCAAAATTTTACTGGCATACATCTTGTCGTTAAAGAGACAAGCAAAGTCAATGATAATCGCCTTCATGTGTGTATATAAGTTGACCATATCGGGATTTCAGCAAAACAGAGGTAACCCATGTTTCTTCGTAAACAAGCTGTTTAGTCCAAAAGAGAATTCTTCGACCTGGCTGAACTTGACTGATGTTAAGATTGTGTTGGGGGAATGTGCATTACATTTATTTCAAAGTAGCTGGGGACATCTACTACATTTAAGGAATATGGGGTTAGCGAGTAGCGAGTGAATGAATTATTATTTTACATTTTGACGATTTTGATGATTATTATGTACGTTTTACACTTACTTGGAAAGGACAGTATCAGCTCATTCTTCTCTGTGTCTTGTCTGATAGCTGGATGTAGAGACGCATAACAAAGACTGACCAGTAGAGATGTTAAGAACACGTTATTCATGCTTGCCTATATCGAAGCAGTCGCTGGTTGCAACCACATGTACATGTATCTGTTTTCTGTGGTAAGATTACATGCCCATATATATCTATATTTACCATCTTATCAGTAAACGACCAGATCTAGAACTTGTCTTAAAAGTCCGTATGTTGTCCAGATCTGGGTTAAATAAAGACTTACGAACTGTCATGGGTCAAGGTATTATTAGCACTCAACATGAACATGTTGCAAGGAACGTATCTTGTGCCCAATTAAAGCAATGGTATCATGTTCTTAAATTTATTGGCTGGGCTGAACGTTGTGTATCACTATATGTTCAGCCCATGACTTGACACAATCTGGTCTGTACCTCGGATTGGGTTTTTAATTCATTCGTGTAAAGTTCTATGTTGGCGTTTGATATTGGAATGCTATTTTGTGATACACGTATTTTTGGTACCATAAATACGGTATAGGGACTTACGCAAAGGTTCCGACGAATGTTATGTCATCGATTTACTTATTGTGAAGATCTTATGATAACGCGTGGTGTATACAGTATCTGCAAGGTAGACACAATTCTTTAATACTGTAAAAACCGATGTTTCGGTATAGATCCTAATACCATTGTCAAGCAAGACTGAATGAGGGACATTGTACAGAATATATATACTCACACGCAAAAGAAACGCAAGTGGTTTTAAGCAAATAGGTAACAAACACGGAACCATAAATTGATACGAGTTTTAGCATGTAGTGAAGCCTGATGGTGTTATCAATATGTTTGGTTGCATTTTGGAAGCCCCGAGTCAAAACGCAACATAAAAAACGAATCGCCAAAATGCACCATTTCAATGAATATGTGGGTATCATGCACCCATTTCTCGCGAAATCGAAAATGCACGAACCGTCACGAACTGTAGTTGGTATAAAACTGTGGCCGATTCTTGGACCTACCACTCCTACCACTCAACAATGCCACGCCTAACTCAAATTCAGAGAAACCAGGCTATCGGACGTTTGGAAGCTGGAGAGTCTGTCCAAGATGTTACCCGTAATTTTAACGTTAACACAACCACAATTTACCGCCTCCTGCATCGATACAATGCTACACAGACCACAGATGACCTTCCTCAGAGCGGTCGTCCTAGGGTCACCACACCTCGACAAGATCCGCAGATTACCCGTCAACACCAGTGACATCCGGGGGATCCGTTCCTAACTGCAAGTGAAAGTGCTCGACAGACCATAGGAACACACAATCGACACATTAGCCGGGACACTGTGATCCGACGTCTCAGTTCCAACAACCTCATATGTCGCCGACCAGCACTTTGTCCTGTTCTCCAACCATGGCATCGACAAGCACGACTTCAGTGGACACAGGGTAATCGCAATTGGCGTCATTGTGAGTGGAGGCGTGTCATCTTCTCTGATGAAAGTCGCTTTTGTGTCTCCCATGCAGACGGAAGAGTCAGAATTTTGCGGCGTCGAGGTGATCGTTTCGCTGACAGAAACGTTGTGGAAAGGGATCCATGGGGTGGACCTAGTGTCATGATATGCGCAGGGATTGGACTTAATGCGAGACTCTGACACAGGTGCTTTCTGAATGTTGGTCAAGGTCGGGGACACGGCGTCACTGCTCAGCGGTATATCGACCAAGTGATGAGACACCACGTTGTTCCATTTTTTGCACAACATCAACAACACATTTTCCAGCAGGACAACGCTCGTCCCCTTGTTGCCAGAGCTACCATGGCCTTTCTGCAACAACACAACATCCGTGTTCTACCGTGGCAATCCCTCAGCCCTGATCTGAACCCCATCGAACATTTTGGGTACTGACCTGAAACTGAGTAAGCCCTTAACATTTGAAAAAACAACAATTATGTCATCTACCTTTTAATCCATTAAACTGTCTTTAGTGAAGTTTTTGTCAATCTTGCCCTATTAGTATTTCTTGTCTTCACTGTTGAAACTAAATAACATGTATACTGCATACTTGACTTGCGTTTCTTTTGCGTGTGAGTATATATTAGGTGGAGGATTAACAGTAACAATAATTGCATACATGAGTGGGATAACATGAGTAAGGTGAGGTGAGGTGAAATGGGGTTTAACGTCGCGTCCAAGATTATTGCACTTATATAGCGACGTGCATGTACGCGTGTGTGTTTGTGTGGCTGCTTGTACTAGTCCGAAGTGATGCCGATTGATAGTGCTAGCTCACTGAGATACCGTGCCGCAGTTTACCATGAATACCCCACTCAGACACAGTATACAGCTGACTCCGAGCCGACCAGTCCTTGTTTTAGCCCCTTAATGCCGAGCGCCAGACAGGGTAACAACAAGTACCATCTTTTAACGTCTGGGATAACATGAATAAGTGTTGACAACAGAAGGATAATACTTTCACAACACGATGGACAGAGAACACATAGGTGGAAGCCAATGGGACATGAAGCCAATTCCACAGTATCTGGTGTGAAACATCTTTCATGAAGTCAGCTCCCCCCTTGCCCTCAATGGAAAACCTAAGCCTAGCGCGTGTTATGAAACTATCAATATAGCGTTGAACCAACACATCAACTTCGATCGCATTGTCTTGTTTTTAAGTCTGATGAATGAACATGAAGTGTAGCGTGGGGTTTTGAAATTAATTGTATTAAAGAGGGTTGGATGGGAACTTCAGAGTCTAGCCATAATGGTCTGCATTGATTAAGGTGAATTATTTTCAACAAGGAGTTTCTGGGTCCCACTGTGTCGCAGTCTTCCTCTGGGCTGTGTAAAAAGTACTCCATAACAGACATGACGCCCTCATTTGCATAAAGCTTTCTTTTGCAGACAGTCTTTCTTCAAGGTGAATAATAGGTGGGAATCTGATGGTGCCATATTTGTCGAATACGGACTATGTTCATATATAATTTCAAAGCTACAGTTATGCATTGCAGCCACGATGACAACAGACTTGTGTACAGGTGCATTATTTGGTGGAACAACAAACCTTGAGTTTTCCATCACGTTTGCCTTGATATTAGAATAATATTGGTTTAGCCTTTCGAGAGGTAGTCCGGGGGATCCACCAGTTGCTTTCCCAGAAAACCGAAGAACATTACCTTGTCTGCTGATGGAACATACTTTGCTTTCTTCGGAGGACGAGGCATTAGAGGTTTCCACTGCTTTGTTAAGGCTGTGGCTCAACAGAGAATACTTTTGATGCCTACATCGATATGCTTCATGTATGTGTGTATTTGATTTAAAATTAGCCTGGAAGCATGGAAAGTAATGTATTTGATACATGCAAACTTTCAGCCACCCCTTGTAGAAAGATAATTTTACACTTTGCCCCTTTGAGATTGGAAGATTGTATAAAGTAATCATTTCCGCAATAATGAGTAATATCATTGCTCATGATATCTGATCAAACATATAAGCATATAGGCGTGGGATAGAACAGTTATTTCGTAAAATAGTGATATCGTGTATCAGTATGGAATAGAATATATACTTATAGTTGTTCATGGTATCGTTTCCTGTTTCACCCATGATATATAGCCAATAAGAGGGCATATATATAAGCATATAAACTGTAAACCAACTGTCCAAGTCGTATAGTCGTATACTCCTTCAGAACAAATCAGACCAAAGCATCATGTAAAGGGTGCCAATCATAAAACGTGAAGTATCTAAAATTTGTTTATCTTATCAGTCTAATCGAGGAACTACTTACCGATTTTGATCGAGGTAAATGACGTTCACAGAACTACGTGAACTAAGGCATATTATTTACCTACGCGTTTGGTTTTCAGTATGAGAAATTAGATTACTTCAAGCATCCAGAAAATAGAAATAAACCAAACAACATCGCTTACTCCAAAAGCGGTTGGAGCCAGTCAGACTGTGTGTCGCGTTACCTCATCGATTATGACGAGAATATTTCTCGAGCAGAAAGCATGGCAATATAAAACTCAAAGCCAGGAATTGGTTCTGCAAGTGGCCGCTTTTTTAGGTCTATTCGGCGACTGTCAGAAAATGTTACCCAGCCAATGCAAAACAGCAGCAGTCTTTCTCTTGTTCTGTTGGTTCTCAACTTTATCCAGCCAAGGAGAGTGGTCGAGAGATTGTTTCTTCTGATAGGAATTCAATCAGTGAGTTTTCAGTCGGACTACTGGTGTTGGCGTGGGTGGGTTGTTATCGGCCCCCTGTCTACTGGGTATATGCGGATGTCGAATTCCCTTTCTGACATCGCCCTGGGTCCTGGGTGCCGGTTAACGTGTTCTGCGTTTTGAGCAGGACAATTTCTTCACTCTAAAGTTTTCGGAGGGTGAAGGGTAAATCCATTGCAGCCCATACCCCCATGACAGAGAAATATTGTCACAACAAGAGAATTTATTGAAGTCTGGCGAGTTTTAAAACTGTATTCCGAAATAGAAGCCTTTTATTCCAAATGTTTGGATTATTTGGACTCAAGGACATCTTCTTGAGCCTCTCAGATCCGATCTAATACTGTATCATCTTGACGGACCTGATCTTCATGGCGGCATCTTCATCATGCCAGGTTGGCTGCCACTGGTGCTTGTTCTTCCAAAAGTCCACCATGGCTGTAGGTGATCCATTCTTCCAAGGTTTTCCATTACGGTTATGCCACGAATCGGAAAAGTAGACGTCATCGCCGACAGCGACGTTGAGGATGAGACCCATCTATAAGTGATACATGTTCAAACCCATTACCCACTGCTTAACTTATTCATAGACGAGTGTCACTGTTTATTTGGTTGATAAGCCTTGTCAAATTAGATTCGTACCTTTTGACAATGTGGCATTGGTCGTGGCGGTTGATCTTGTAATCAATTATCAACTTCAACTGGAGATTCGGTTAATATGGAAGTGTAGGACAAAATCCATTGTCTCATGACGCCATCACATTCAAGAGTGACGATATGTCTATCACACAACTGTTTGAGGACACGTTGAATGAGCGCCGTGCAAAATAGATATTTTGCAGGTGCTAGAAATTACATTCATGAATTGAAACCTCTGACTAGCTCTGCCGGTTCCACTTAAATTTCGATGAAGTTCTCAAAAAACACATACCATTTATCAATTGTTTATGAACCTGCACCTTTGAAAAGAGAAACAACATAGATCCGATTTCCATTTGAATTCCTATATTCCAAGGGAATAAATTTGTAAATGCAACTTTACCTTTCCATCAAAGGGAGCATCTTTACCTCCGCTTGCCCAGATGTTGTGCCCGGTCAGGTGACTGTAGGACCAGTAGCCTTGGGAAGGTGTTGACCACGCCAAGACTGGATGGTCGTCCACAGACAATCTAGTTAAGGATAACATGCATGTACATATTTACTTATGTATATTATTTTGAGATACATTGCATCATGGGTGATGGGATAACAGCTGTATGTCATATGTTCCTTTTCCTTTGAGCAAATATGGTAAACCGATATTATGATAACCATTGCAATATTTTCGAAACTGCCCTCCCTGAAACTGTACAAAGTCAATAATATGCATACAAATAAACAGTATACATATATCGCTCTGATTTGTACAACATATCTTCCCACCTTATGTGGTCAGCTGTCCAGTCAGCGGAGTACGTGTGGAAATCGTCAGCCCATACTGTCCCAGGTGCACTTTTCCTGTTAAAGAGAACACAAACCTGTTTTCTTTGCAATTACATGATATTCATAGATAGATTTTGAGAACCAATAAGAAAACATTGTCTTGTATGTGCAGAATCTCCCACATTAAGTTTTTATAACTGAAATATTGTTGAAAGTATCATTAAGAAGACATGGATACCCTGACAGGGAACAAAAGTAATGTACAATACTGCAGGTCAGGTAGTTGCTGGTCTGTTATGCAAATGAAGTAACAGCAGGCCGACATATTATATTGCCGACCAATCCCAAACCTTGACACACTATGCTCCGAAAGGTCAGTCAGCAGTCATGACACCTGTGCAACCGTAAATGCCGATGTAAAGTCAAGAGGATACAATTCCTGATATGAAGTTGTTATGATTTCCTTATCTTGATTACACGCTGTTGTGAAACTGTACAACGAAAAGTGAAGAGAATTTATGGATGTCAGCTTCTTTATCATGAGGAACACAACCTTTCGTAGTTCATATTCACTCATTCATCAGGTGAATGAAGGAATAAGCATATACTCTGAAACGTTGTGTTCCTCGTAATAAAGAAGTTGACATCCATAAATTCTCTTCCCCGTGTGCATCACTTCTTAATGCCAGTCAGGACTTGTATACCGCAGTTAATGACATACGAAGACTTATTAAAAGACGCAGACCGAAGTGCTACCTTCCATATCCTTTACTTCGGTGCTGATCGGAAACACCCCAGTGAAGTGTGGAGCGAAGGTACTGGGCGCCATGGTCATTGCCATTGCTGTCCTTGAAGTCGAGGTTCCCTTGGTACAGAAAGGAGGGATCATTTTTCTCTACCGGTACTACAGGACATGCTTACCATGACCCGTTTCGTGAACACCTCATGTCATCACTGGTTTTCTGTGATCAATTCATATAGCTTTCATCACTATGATCTTTCACATTTTGTTCCATCAACTGAATTGGATTTAATAACAAGGCAAATTAGACATTATACTAGGAAGTACCCATGGGATAAATGACTAATGGGTTGTGACGTGACATGACCTGAGTGATGGTGTGTCATCGCATCCATATGTCTTGCATCGTTTTTTATGCTATATATCGGTCGTAGGTCTGCTTGCCTGTATAGTAACAGTTTTGTTTTCTGAAATGAAACTTGCTCCATTGATGAAATTGTGCGTTGTACTGATAGTGTATGTTGAACTGCTTACCAGACTCTAGAAAGTGTCCAGTGTAATGTTATCGTTTCTTGAAGTTCAACAATAGAATGGTGCATTTAAGCACTGACGAGGCAGCCAAAGCTGTTGGTGTGGTGGAAGTTGGAAAGATACACAGTCAATTTAGTTTTAAAAAATTGGGTGTGAATCTGTGGTCCTGCAATATCAGAAGATGCTCGGGACAAGCATAATCCCCCGACCTCTACAATCTTTCATAAATGCAGAGGTATTATGTACGTCACTAAATACATGGGGGCGGTCGGGTAGCCTTGTGGTTAAATGTTCGCTCGTCACGCCGAAGACCCGGGTTCGATCCCCGACATGGGTACAAAACCATACTCATACTCCCCTTTTCATATTACCAGCTAAACGTTGGTATCATGTATATAGATTTGTTCTTAATACAGAAGGTTACGAGAAAGATGTGTACTAAATATCGTTATATCCATCCAACACTGTTTTTATTTAATACATTAATGTCTTGATCTAATGTAAAAGTAAATAAAAACCGTGCAGTGTACATTTATCATGCCAATAATCTTAGTGCATAACTAAACTACTTTCTGTATTTCTTAACATTGTTGTGTACACTACGGTTTTGTTGTTCACTGATGGATCACCCACATGTTGTGAATTCGGACCGATGCCCTACATTCTCACGCAATAGAAACATACCATGTACAGCGACTAGATATTGAGATTTATACCCTTTGTTTCGATTTCGCTTATCGTTGGTGATGTTTTTGATGCATGAAAAAATTGATCCAGTGGCTTTTAGGTTTTAGATACTACATCTTAGTAATTGATAAGGTATGATGCATAACTCTTCCTGCATCACTCTTCCTGCATAATTCTTCCTACATCATAACAGGTGAATGTAAAGCTGGAGACCTTTCTCGGGTAGCGTTAACGCTAGGTCTAATTGAGCAAAAGCGTACGGCATGAAAACATCTAAAAAATGGGAATTCCTCTTCGAGTGAGTGAGTGAGTGAGTTGGGTTTAACGCAGCTTTTAACAATATTCCAGTTATATCGCGGCGTGTCAGCTTAATGTGGGAGGAAAGCCCGAAGTGATGCAGGTCTCAGACGTTTACCACTTCGGTGAAACCCACGAGCACGGGTATGGTGCTGACAAACCTAGAAACATAATCGGGGCGAACCGGGATTCGAACCCACAATCAAAGGTTTCTGGCGTGCCCAAGGGACGCAACTCTGCACAGCGAATCGCGGCGCCTAAGACGACTGGGCCACCCGTGCCCCCAATTCCTCTTCGAAACATGTTTCGGGACAAAAGGTCTCGTACAATTATCACTATATTCCGAGCCGACCAATTCTTGTTTAGCTCGGTATTGCCGAACGCCAGACAGGGTAACAACAAGTTCCATCTTCTGGTATGACGCGCCCTGGGATCGAACTCCCGACCTTCCGCTCTCCGGGCGGACGCTCTACCACTAGACCACGGAGGCGGTAACATGTACAGGTTTTAACACATATTTCATTTGATGTGATACCGAGTCAATTTTAAATGTCGCTGGATATGAAACTGTAAACGCTTGTGCTGGTGATATTTAGGTATAAATGTTTCGTTTTTGATCTACGGAATAGTACATGAAACATGGCTTTCTCAGACAATAGTTATTACGTTTTCATGTCTTTTTAAAGTGTTTGAATTCAGTAAAAATGAAACTATCTCTGGTTGTGAGATATATCGAAATAAGAATTATGTTACTTGATCATATATATAAGCAGGACAATATACATCAACGCTGTCATCGAAGCAATAACCCAATACGATGGATAGAGGTTGGTATTTATGTTTATCCATCCTTTTTTTAATGTGTATCTAGAGTACCATTACCATAAGCAATATAGCGTTCATGCATGCACAATGCCAGTAAAGGTTACAGATCTGAAAGGTAATACTACGAAACTATCACTTACCTCTTGCTTCCATAATGTCTATCTCACCGGAATCTGGCCATCCCCCATACTTCCAAGGTCTTGTGGGAGGAAGCATCCATATTGCTATGGTAACCATGAACATTATGGTTTGTAATAGGTGATTAAATAATACCATCACAATAAGTTTGTTCATAAGAACATCTTTACACAAAGTCTTAACCATCAAATTCGATACTCTATATCAGACTATTTACCTAACAGGAGAAAACGTTATCTTTAGTCCAAGACTAGGTTGATATTAAGGACCATATTATAAATTGCATGAAAATAAAACAAACTATCACCTGGTTTTAACCAATCCCCTTTAGGTAACTTTGCAACAACTTCCACCCTTCCGTAGGTTATGGAAGCTTTTGAATAGAGTTTTGCTGACATGATAGGTGCAATTCCGTTATTGGATCCAAGGCGGTAGCATCCATTGTCACTGTGATATGTACAGGTTCCCCATTGCTCTGGAACAGACATTATGTAACACGTGAAGACTTACAATCTTGATTTTCTGTATGATGTACTTTTTGTTTTCGCAGTCGGTTTACTCGTGTACAGTTGCATACACCCCCTGGGAATGAACCAATCCTAATAAATGTATGCCTTGTGATGAAATGTTGACAGTCACGCATATTTTGTTTAATGTGTGGGACTTTCACTGACTATTGATTCTTACTCATGAAACAGCTAATCTGAAAGATCGTGTTTTTCGTGTGGGTAATTGATTTGAACATGTCTCATAGAAATTGATCCGTATGATCATATGAACAAGAAATTGTTTGTCAATAATCAGAGAGTGTGAATATGGGTGTGAGTTTTATTATTTATAATAGTTAATAAAGTCGTCTAAATATATTTTGTTTATCTACTTTGTTTTAAATTGAATCCCGGGTTCGATTCCCGACATGGGTACAATGTGTGAAGCCCATTTCCGGTGTCCCCGCTGGAATTTTGCTAAAAGCGGCGTTAAATAGACTCACTCACTCACTATATAAAGGTTATGACTAATAAACAGTGACCAGTACATGGATCACAGAAGGTTGGTGTCAGGCATGGACGATAGAGAAAACTTACTGGCAACGTCAAGAACGCCATTGTGAAGAAACTTTTCTCCAAAATTGTCTACTGTAAATGTCTGAAGAGGAAATAATAGTCTCGTGACCGTTATAGCATGAATGTAAGATGCGTTTAAATGCTGTCACAACATTAATAATTATACAGGCAGTTAGTCCAAACATGCCCTAGTGCGACAACAAAAGAAAGTTGTTCACAAGAAGTAACAATAAATCTAATATAATATCGGCCTCATGAAATTAAGAAGACACCTACATCCAAGGAGGGTTGAATACTGACAGGTGTTGATGAAACGTGTTAGTATATTCTGTCATGCGTCTGAGGAATAGAGTACCCGCAAGTACTTTGAAGATGACAACATTTTAATATTGTGACTGGTCTCACTTGGTTATATATTATCTCACTGGTTTATAAAGGTTCACAAAACACAATATAGCTTCCATGAAGGTAACATGTTATGCATTGAATCGGTATAGTTTATAGATGACAATTCATAGATAGATTAGTTTATCGATGATTTATTCATGACAGACTTAAGAAAGTTGAGTACCGGTTTGATGTAGAGAACGCCGTTTTTGACATAGCTGTTGGCAGCTTCTGGTGTGAACATTTGGAACTGACCCCCCTGGAAAAAATAACGATTTCATAAATATCAGTTATTATGCGTTTGAAATAATCCCTTCAATTTTGAATTAATCATGCGTATATTTATGACATCTCAAAGCGAGATCATGTGTTTTCCTGTGTCCATAACTGTGGTAATTGCTGTCTCTGGCTACACCGTAAACGTGGTATGAATTCATATGCCCAGGACTCAATGTCATCACATGATCAGCCGACACGTAGCCAGTGACGACCACCCTGTCAGCATGATGACACACAGTATCGGCCTTATTGGCCATGTGGTGACGTAATGCATCATCGGTCATACCTCTTAGAACCACCCAATGCCGTAACTGATCTTCTTTAAATGCAAAGGTAAAGTTCGAGCACACGTTGGTTTGCACTTATCAACGTCTCCTAACAATTGCCTGAAACACCGTAAAACCTCAACTAATCATGCATTGATACATTTGAGGCGAATCTTACCCCAGTTCCCCTGCAAGTGATTTCATGTTTCCATTTGTTGGTGTCGAGATGGTGAAGGTGAAATTCGTCTAAAAGGACGGTCGTGCCACGCCTGTATAGTCGAGGACTGAGCGATGATGCAGCTGGATGTCGGTATATAAAACAACATTATGAGAGGGCTTGTTTGCCCTACCTAACAATATTCTAACTCTATGACGACGGTCTGTAAATAATCGAGTATGGACCAGACAGTCCACTGGCTGACATCGTGAATATCGATCTTTGAATTTGTGATACGATGACACGCATCAGCCAAATCAGCAAACCTTGACAACCCGATCCCACTGATAGGCCACAGTCGCCTCTTATGACAAGCATGGGTTGCGGAAAACCTATAATTCTAACACGGATCTTCACGGCTGGATAGTTCATGATGACGGTTGTATTACTTCGACTCTCCTACTTCTAACGCGGATCTCCACGGGGGCATCATGAGATGAAGTACAGTCACATTTGAACAAAGTATTCTGCAATTGCAATTGCCAGATTCATCCACTAAATGAGTGAATGTTGTTTGACGCTGCAATCAGCAAAATTCCACCAACATCATGCTGACCTGTACACTCTGAAATCATGAGCAGCGATCTACGCAGACATACTTAGTCTAAGTATGCAGACCACCCGAACCTTTTCATTGGATTCGAGGTACACTACTGTTGAACAGTGTGTACATGTAAAGCAAATTCTGCAACAACTTGCCGATGCCAAAGCCTACATATTGCCGAAATATATGATCATCTTTACACAATGTAGTACAATTAAATTAAATAAGTGCCATGCTAGAAACACTTAATCTATGCAAATATACCACTGGTATACATACGTGGGATGATGTATACATCATTAAGATGATGAAGAACATCTCCGGCAGCAGACAAATATTTTACTGAATATTCCAGCACATCCTTGTCAGTGAACGCGTTCTTGCTTTGAACTCTGTAAGTGAAATATCCATCAGCTGAAACAGATAGAGAAAACACGCAGCAGCTGAAAGGTGTCTGTAGGAAATGGACAGCTGTGCATTTGAATCTTGAACTAGCAGTAGTGTTCTTTTGTCACATGCAAGACTATCTAATCTTCCTATTTAGAAGAACCTATGCCTATGTGGGACTTGTCTCCTGCGAGGGCCATACAATGTATTTGGCATGCACAAATACGCTTTAGTTTGAATCAGAACGTCAATCACGTCACATATATATTTGTACCACCTTATTAAAGGAAGGTTTCAATTACAAAGTAATCAGAACACAGCAGATCAGAATGTCCTTAAACTCGTGTCTTTACAAAATGTAATTGCATACAGTTTATGATGATTTTTGTACATATGTACAAGGATATCGACATTGGCATCAGAAGTAATTGTACACATGGTTAACGTTTAACATTGTCATGAAAACCAAAATAGAAGCATAATCTATGAGCATTATAAAGTCAAACCGACAGATCACGATCATAGTTACCTTGTTTGTGCACTCGAACGATGTTGGTCAATTCCGGCAACCGTGCCTGCTTCGTCAGAAGATGGAGAGCGTACGACAATTCAATCGCATCAACACCAGGCACATCTGCCAAATAGAATGTACACGTTACATGTTTTCATGCACGGGTTGAAATGTGTTAGGGTGAGGTGGAAACGTGATACATAATTATTATTCAACAAATAACGCATTTACATACATCATGGACCGGTGTAGGAGGTAATGTATAGGGGAGTGGAGGAGACGTTTGTTTGTTGTTTTCACGCCGCACTCAGTAATATTCTAGCTATATGATGGCGATCGGTAAATAATCGAGTCTGGACATCATGGGCATCGATCCACACAATTTGAATACGATGATATGCATCAACCAAGTTAGCAAGCCTGACCACCTGATCCCGTTACTCGCCTCTTACGACAAGCATAGTCGCCTCTTACCGCAAACATGGGTTGCTGAAGACCTATTCCAATCCGTGGAAGAGACGTGGTATTTGTATTCAGCAAATAACGGATATACACACATGATGGTGAAGGTGGTAATGTGTAAGGGTGAGTTGTACACGTGATATATTTTCAACGCCTATCACTGAGGCATTAATATGTCAGCCGTGATCCAACTGCCGATACGGAGGCATGTGTTAATCTTCAGATTGTTTGTACAATCCTGGAACATTAGAGTATTCATGGAACATGAAGAATCGTAAGATTTGATTTCATCCCAAGACTGTACATAACAGAGGCACTTATATTCTCCATAGTAGTCTGGCGTCCAGTTTTCTCAACAAGTAGTTTCAGTTGCGGGAAATGCGTCTGTGGTCAGAATAACATTGATATATCTCTTTGTGTCATAGCACCCATCGAATTATTAATAACCGATATTAACACATTTTATTTTTTGGATAGGGGTATGTTCGTTCTTTATAACATGAAGAAATTACTACAGTCTGATACATATCTGAAAAAAGCAACAAACTCATTTCAGTAATCATAAGAAATAAGCTTAAAGCAAAATTCTGGGGCAGTGGGGTAGCTTTGTGGTTAAAACGTTCGTTCCTCACACCGAAGACCGGGGTTCGATTCTCTACATGGATACTATGTGTGAAGCCCATGCCTGCCTGGTGTCTCCCGCCGTGATGTTGCTGGCTGGAATATTGCTAAAAGCGGTGTAAAGAACAATACTCAATCAGTTAGTCCGACTTCATCGGAAGCATGTGTTTATGAATTATTGTCAGTTTGTGGTGAAACAAGGTTTTCGCAAAAGGTGATCGTAATACTGTTTGTTGTCCCACTGTTGGTACCCGTCACAAACACAAGGAAAAGACCCGTGAAGATTCCGGGGTAGAATAGGTCTTCAGCAACCCATACTTGCCGTAAAAGGCGACTATGCTTGTCGTAAAAGGCGACTAACGGGATCGGGTGGTCAGGTTTGCTGACTTGGTTGTTACATGTCATCGATCCCAATTGCGTGGATCGATGCTCATGATGTCAATCACTGGATTGTCTGGTCCAGACTCGATTATTTTACGGACCGCCGTCATATAGCTGGAATATTGTGTGCGGCGTTAAACAACAAACAAACAAACAAACACAAGGAAAAGACAAGTGATCACGTGAACAAACACAGGAACATATGGTAGCAGTCAAAATAAGGAACTGCATCGGACATCATTTGGTGAGTCAACTGATTAAGTCAGTCAAATATGGAAATGATCATAATGCATGATCAGGATTAACGTGTGTGTGACGCAGCACCATGCAGTTAAGTTTCATTCAGATGTCCTTTCGAGATGTCAGATGCCTTTATGGGGAAACTATTTTGATTGAATTCAAACACATCATTTGAAACACCTAACAAAAATTTCAGTCGCTTACGGGACTCTTATCTGTGGGGAACTACTTACCTTTTGCTGATATTGTGTGGGGAATGACGTCACATTTATTTCAAACTAGTGTACGCAGAAACGTTCGCGCTACGAGCTCGGTATCTGCTACAAGTGGGCGCTACATATTAGATTTGAATTATATACAGCATGGACGCAATTTATGTCATATAAATGACTACAATTGACAAAATAATGATGACATGTTGAATATAAATTGACGTCATAAGAGATTTGAACCATTTTGGCGGCCATCTTGGATTTTCTACCACCAGGTGGCGCTGTTGAGGTAGATCCATACCCAGAAATGTTCGGAATGTTTCAATGTATAAGTGTGCCAAGTTTGGTGCTTTTAACCTATAAAGTGCACAATTTTGACTAAAATCCAGCCTTAACCGCCCCACTAACAGTGCACTGAAGGAATAATTATGTGCTTCTGATGTTCCACACCAACGATAGAGTAGCGAGTGAATGAGTAATTATTAAACGTACCACCGAATATTTCGGCCAGTTTCGACCAAATGCATATTTCTATTATGTATGTTTCACACTTACTTGGAAAGGTCAGTATCAGTTGATTCTTCTCTGTGTCTAGTTTGATACCTGGCTGTAGAGACCCACAACAAAGGCCGAATAACAGAGTTGTTAAGAACACGCTATTCATTCTTTTCAATATTGAGGCAGCCGCTGCTAGCCACCGCATAAATACCGTCTGTTCTCTCCGATAAGATTACGTGGCCGTATATGCTGTCTTATCAGTCAATAACAGAACCTCTCTAAATACAAGTACAGCTGCACATGTCACATTTCTGTAGTATTTTTAATATACTCTTACAAAAAGAAGGGGATCAAGAAATATAACGTTGATACCAAGTAGCAAAGATACATGTTGACGACAAACAACCTCTGCAAGAATGTTTCTGTCGTCGAAACCTAACACAAAAACACATCCTCTAGTTTGCACGTGCCACACGCAGTAGTGTCACACACGTGCGTTGGGTGTCATTTCTCATTTTGACACTTTCAAAGAAGTTCGAATAATCTCTGGTGACCATTTTCATTCTGTTTTATTCTGTTTATCATACAGTTGTGACTTACTTGATTTCATTCATTGCTTGTGTATGAACTAGCAAAGGACGTCTGCAACGCGTTGAAATGCTGGAAACCGAATGTCAGCGTGCAGTGGCCAATACATTCATTGTTTCACAGTCTGTGATTAGCAGACTATGGAACAGGTACCAACAAACCCAAAATATTGACGATCGACCCCGTTCAGGACGTCCCAGGTAAACGACAAGAGTACAGGGTCAATTGAAATACGAAATAGGCCGTAGCATCTAGGAGTAGGATAGAACAGTACTAGTAAGTTATATTAAAAGAAGTCTCGTGAATCAGTATAGAATATAGAAACATGTATGTGTTTATTGTGGTGTGTAATAAATCTATCGTTTTGTAGGTTCACCTATGGAACAAGTACCTGGTCGATCCTAGGGATGCGTATTACTGTCTAGCAACGCAAAAACTTTTAAACTTGGTAAAAACAATTCAGAAAAAGGTTCCATATAGAGGGTGCCAATCATAGAAGTGTAAATGGCAAAGTATCTTAAAAATTCGTTTATCTTATCAGTCTAAATTCCGATCCACATACCGATTTTATCAAGGTAAACGACGATCACAGGCGTACGTGAACAAAAACTGAAGGGCCAAACAAAGTACACCGAGATTGTTTTTTGTGTTATTTAAAATTAAAACAACTGCAACAGTTTGTGAAAAGTAATCTGTGGCTTGAATTTGAAAACACATGTCCCCTACCGTACCATGTGTGAAACGTTGTAAGGTTATTATTTTAAACGATAAGATGTCTAAGATACCCAAAGTTGTGTATTATGTAATATTTTTTTAATGAATATTTAAGAGGTTTAAATGAAAATATATTTTTTTTAAATAAAACCATGTCGATGTATTCTTTGAGTGCTGACTAAGAGCCAGGTAAGTTCATTTTTTGGATATACTACCGCTAACTTAAGCTATTGTGAACTGAAAATCAAACATAATATGAAATCAACTGAGAGGTATTGTAGTTTCATTTGCTCCTCTGTTTAGCATATATTTACTCTTCAGTACAGGGAAATTAGATTACTTGAAGGAAGAGGTACATGCTGAAAATTCAACGTCTAGAAAATGGAAATACACATTGCTGATCCATCCGAAAGCGGTTGACCACTGTCAGACTGTGTGTCTCGTGACCCGATTAATGACTCGAATGACGAGCCGAAGGCAGGGCAAATATCAAAGGCAAAGGGTTCTCTTTCAGGTTATCCAGCGACTGTCAGAAACGTAACCCAGCCCGTGAAAAACAGCAGGTGTCACCTTCGTGTTCTGCCTCGTTCCTTTATTATTATATTATACATTAATAAAGCGCAGGTATCCAAGTACTAGTATCTGCTCAAATGCTGCTTTATTTGTTCCCCGACCAGTAGATCCGTTTGTATTTCAGTCATCATTGTGCGGAGTATACAACCCAAGCTGCCTACGGGCTCTAGAGGTATTTTTTATATCCACCACAAATATCGGGCACCCAATCTCTGCCGTCGGCTCTCAGCTCTTTTTAGGTGAGAGGTCGAGTGTGTGTTTTCTCTTTTGAGGAATTCACTCAGCGACTTTGGCTTTGTCTTGAGACATAAAAAACTAAAGTTATTTCCTGTACAATATTTTCTTTCACGATAAATGCGCTTGTAATCATCTTCCCGAGGCAAGGGAGTTAACTGACCATTAAGTCCAGTTTCCACCTTTGCCGAACTAGGCTGGAATTCTAAAGTTACATTTTGGCTGGACTAAGGAATCTATGCATTGGCCATTGGCATTAGCATCCGGTCCGGAAACAACATGGAGTTCAACGTGCAGATTTCGGTCGACTGCAGTATTTGCAAAACACGTGTTCCGTCAACTGGGCGTCGACAGACTTTTTCCAAATATTTCCATGTGTTTATTCAAGGTGTTCAAATGGTCTGATGCACTTCGCGGGCGCCGCTATTTCGTTTGAAAAATAATAAAGTGATATGAAAGGTGAAATCTGATTGGTCAAAAGGAGCGGCATATCAGGGACATAACTCGTAATAGCCACTGGTGGCGCTTCGATCGAGCTTATTCCAGCCTAGTTCGGGAAGCGTGGAAACTGACTTGTAAAGTCAGTTAACGTCCTTGCCTCAGGAAGATGGTTTGTAAGGGACTGTTAGTCATGGCTTTGCTAACTGCATTTCTCAGCTCGACTACATGGAAATGGTGGGTCGGTCTACCGGTGTTGACGTGGATTGGATGGATTGTTATCTGCTACAATTCTGCTGGTTATCGGCGGCTGTAGGGTCCTCTTTCTGACAGCACCATGGGTGCAGATTAGCAACTTGCAGGATGGCGCTTTTTGTTCGGCTTTTCCTGATTATCGGCGGGTCTGCCAATGTGTGTTGATACATTGCTATCAGCTTCCTTTTTACCTGGTATCTACGTGAGAAGGGCTAGTCAACTGGAGCCTAAACCACCAGTTGGAGACATGTTGTCATATCAAGAGCGGTGTATTAACATCTGACAATTTGATGAATTTAATCCGAAATAGAAGCATTTTATTCCGCCAACGATCTGATACTGTATCATCTTGACAGACTTGATCTTCATGGCGGCATCTTCACCGTGCCAGGTTGGCTGCCACTGGTGCTTGTTCTTCCAAAAGTCTGCCATGGCTGTAGGTGATCCATTCTTCCAGGGTTTTCCATTAGGGTTATGCCACGAATCGGAAAAGTAGACGCTGTTATCGCCGACAGCGACGTTGAGGATGAGACCCATCTGCAAATGTTCACACTTGGTACACATTGCATGTTTCGATTATGTACAGACCGTCGTCAATATAGTTGGAATGTTGCTGAAAACAGTGTTAAACAACAAACAAAACACATTAAATCATTTATATACGATTGTAAAACAACGAGAGTGCCACTGTTTGATAAATCTTGTTAAATTGGATTCGTCTCACGGACATCTCTTGGACAGTGGGATTCCTCATGTCGACTTGACTATGGTAATAATTTATTTTGAGTTTGAATATATAACAACTTAAACTTAGGTCATCTTGGAGATGTATTTGTTATGGAGGGGTAGGACATAATCCATTGTCTCATTACGTCACATTCCAGAATGACGATATATATATTACACAACCGTTTGAGGATACATTGAATTAGAAAGATGCAAAATGGACATATTTTGCAGCTGCTTAATATATACATACATTGTAGATGAAAGTTTATAAATTGAAATCTCCGATTAACACCGTCATCGAATACTCAATAACACCCGCAAATCTGAAAATACATACTGTTTATCTCTTATTTGTGCACCTGCACATCATATAAAATGAGAACAACATGTCATATTTCCATTTGTATTATCTATCCAAAAAAGGAACATATTTGTCAATACAAATTACCTTTCCATCAAAGGGAGCATCTTTACCTCCGCTTGCCCAGATGTTATGCCCGGTCAGGTGACTGTAGGACCAGTAACCTTGGGAAGGTGTTGACCACGCCAAGACTGGATGGTCGTCCACAGACAATCTAGTTAAGGATAACATGCATGTACACGAAGGCATGTATATTATTTTGAGATACTACTTAACATAGGCAATGACAAAACAAGTGTATGTCATATCTTCGTTTTCCTTCAAGCTATTATGGTAAACAAATATTGTGAGAACCGATTATGTTTGTAGGTTTGTCAGCACCATTCCCGTGCTCGTGGGTTTCACCGAAGTGGTAAACGTGCGAGACCTGCATCACTTCGGGCTTTCCTCCCACATCAAGCTAACACGCCGTGATATAACTGGAATAATGTTAAAAGCGGCGTTAAACCCAACTCACTCACTCATTTCCCACCTTATGTGTTCTGATGTCCAGTCAATGGAGTACGTGTGGAAATTGTCAGCCCATACAGTCCCGGGTGCACTAGCCCTGTTAACGAAAACACAAACATACAAACAGATACAATCTATGCCATTACATTTTATTTATTGATTATAGATTGTGAGAAACCAAGGGGTAAAAACGGAATCTGATCACAGTGGACAGTGTTGTAGGCACAAAAATTGCTGTTGCAATCTTCAGCAATGCCAGTATCTGGACATGGGTTCGAATCCTCAGTTTGTCAGAATATGATACGCACCATGCTTGTTTCATGCAAGTTTTAAATGTAAGTAAAGGATTATCGCCCACATTAATCTTTTATTGCTTATATACTGTTAAAAGCAGCATTAGCACGAACCTTCTTATTTAAACGTTAACTTGTTGTCAGGGCACCTGAACATTACGATGTGTACATGTATGCTTATATTTGATGATACTGTATCATTGTAGAACATGGACAATGATCATTTATGGCAACTTGAAAAGGGAACGAAAGTAGTCCTACCTTCCATACCCCTTACTTCGGTGCTGATTGGAAACACCCCAGTGAAGTGTAGAGCGTATATTCTGGGCGCCATGGTCATTACCATTGCTGTCCTTCAAGTTAAGGTTCCCTTTGAACAGAAAGGTAACTTTTTGTTCCATCAACAGAACTTGATTAAACCACAAGGCAAACATGAGGTTTTGTATGAAGTACTCTTGCTTGTGGTAAGAGTACACTAAAATGAGTAACGTGTTGTTAGAATATGTAACATAAGTGACAGTATGTCATCGCAACCCAACGACTTGGGTAGTAATTTATGCTAAGTCCCAGGTTTTGCTGCCCAGTCTCGATCAGGCGTAAACATATATTAAGGGAAATTGTTTCCGTAACAGATGTGTTTTGTTCAAAATGAAACTTTATCCATTGATGAAACGGGACATTGTTGTAATGACATTAACATACAGAACTCGCATAATTCTTGGGGTAGTCTTTTCACTTACATAGCATAATCTGCTGTGTGTTATCATTGCAATGTTATCGTTTTTAAAGTTGAACAAAAGAAGGGTGCATTTAAGCACTGGAGAGGTAGCAAGTGTTGATGTGATGGAAGGTGGGAAATTACACAGTCAAGTTGGTAGACTTACCAGCTGCAGTGTTAATGACACCGTGATTGGGAGGTTAATTCTACATTACCTACAGTCATATGCTGCTTGAAATAAGCATAATAACTCCACGTGCAATTGTGCAAGAAGACAATCAATTTTGTTTCTGGGATCAATCACCTAGGATTATGTTAATGCAACTGTAAATGTAGTGACCTCGCGTAGTAAATCTTCTTGCATGCAGACCACCATCGTATGATATAATATATGTCAGTTTATACACCAAGAAACACAGATGCTAATTGTGGATTTGCTCGTGTTAGATCTATTCGTTTTGTTTCGACTTCGCTTATTATTGGCGATGTTTTTCTTGAACGAAAAAAATGATGTTGTGGCTTTCAGTTGTTGAACAGATTGGTGGTTGATCAGGTTGATACATACATGAATGGAGAACTTGTCTGTATATGAAACTCAGCTGAAGAGTATGTAATTACTCTTTGGGGCATATTTTGGACGTTCTGCAACTGTTTATTTCGGGCGTGTTCCGATGGTTCAATTTGTGGTCATTTTCCAAAAAGGTACAGGGTCCATTGGAGGTCATACACAAATCTAATATGGTGGATGTGAGACACGGTGTAAACTGTTGAGAAGGGGAGTATTCTTTTTTCTGCGTTTTCAGGACTTGACAAACCATCTCTAAGAGAGATACTTGTATCTATTTAGGTAACAATGATGTTATTTCATAGAACCAAATACAAATTATTGCCATAATTCCTTTCTTTATCCAATACCCTACACCGTAAAACGTTCAATAATGCCATAAAATAGACCACTATCATGATGTGTCAGCAGTTTCATCAAACAAACATAATGTTGTGAATCAGGACTCATGATCTAATCTAACGATGGATGTACTGGCATATATGCATATCTAGCCGTAGCATTGCCATAAGCGAATCATACATGTAAGATGCAAGTCAAGGCAACAGTTGAGATGCAGCACTAGAAAGCTAAAACTTACCTCTTGCTTCCATGATGTCTATCTCGCCGGAAGCTGGCCATCCGCCATATTTCCAAGGTCTTGAGGGAGGAAGCATCCATATTGCTATGTTAGCCAGGAGAGGGTTTGTAAATGTGATTGAAAATACACGTACAGTTTATAATACAATGTGGGGATAGATCAAGCATCAATGGATGGTTACAATAAGTTTCTTGTGTCAGATACTCGCTTGTAGCATGGACCTGCATTGCTCAGGTTTCTTTATAGTCGACATTTGGACAAATGAACGTCGTTGAATGAATAATGTCTTATTTAAACTATAAAAATCAACTTTAGAGTATTTACCTGGGTAAATAGTTCATCTCTATACCTGACAATAACAATAACAACTTGAAAATATACAAAATACTCACCTGGCCATAACCAATCTCCTTTTGGTAACTGTGCAACAACTTCTATTTTTCCGTAGGTGATGGAAGCCTTTGAATAGAGTTTAGATGACATGATAGGTGGGATCTTTGATCCCTGACGGTGGCATCCATTGTCACTGTAGTAAGTACACGTTCCCCATTGCTCTGGAGAAGACAAGAGACAGACATTCCTTCACCCTCTGTTGTATCTATTGTACACACGTGAATATACAAGTGACACCGCCATGGGTAGCAATCTGTGTTCTCTGTGCGATGATTCGGGCCCAAGACGTTTTACTTAGGACATGATCCAATCCTACCAAGCTAGACATGCTAGTTGTTCATGTTATGGAGCAGCTAATTTCACATGTATTTTCACTCTGGAAGTGGGCATTTGTTTTTAACATATCACACAAAACTGCATCTGCATAAGACATTGTGAAGGCTTATATAAATAACGAATTCCTTGGTTATAATGAAACTGTGTGATTATTGATAAGATTTAAATGATTTGAAAATAGTTAATGAAGTTGTATTCAATTATGTTTTTTTCATTTTTTTTCATGTCACATTGAATCGGTAATATATGCCGTTTTTCTTGACAGCTTTATATATTTTACTACTTGTTTTCGTCATTACCATGTAGCTGACGCGATGTGAAACTTTAATTTACACACTCTATAAAATGTTTATGCTAATTAGTATACAGCAAAATGTAAAGGAGCCCGGGAGGTTGGTTTCAATCATGCAATATAGGGAAAACTCACTGGCAACATCAAGATCTCCATTGTGAAGAAAGTTTTCTCCAAATTTGTCTACTGTATATGTCTGAAGAGGAAAAGATGGGAATAATCTCACAAGCAACATAAAGGTTAGACGCGTCTACACACTGTCACAACTTTAATAAATATTTAAAAACTTAGTCGAAACATAGACCAATACAACAAAAATAAGTTTTCCAAAACGTCAAAATAATTCCAGATCATCCATTATATATACTCCATTAGCATGAAAGCACAGATCCTACCTGCACCCAAGGTTAGTTGTATAGCTACTATGATGACACCAGGTGAGCATAGTCCACCGTACGACCTTGTAAGTCGCTGTTGACCTAATCTAGCTTCCACTGTATTTTGGAGATACACACACTTATTTATGACGGACATACGACAGTGAAGTACCGGTCTAAGGTAGAGAATGCCGTTTCTGATATAGGTGTTGGCAGCCTCTGGTGTGTACATCTGGAACTCGCCACCCTAGAAATGACGCAAAATAACTATAAACTATATTAGACATATTTTCTTTTTAATTCGTATTATTCAGATATTAATGAATACTTATGGTATTATCAAGAGAACAGGGATGATACATATGCCTCTGTGCATAACTATAATAATTGCTATCTCCTGTTCCACAGTAAATATGACACAAATGCCCAGGGCCCACTTGCACAAAGCGATCCTAGCGCTGAGATGAACGTCTGTACAAATGGGCCCAGGTGTCAGCATCTGACATATTTAACCCGTTGTAGCGTTTGTTTTGATCGTAAACCGAAAAAGGGCATGGTTCAAAACATTTTTTGATTATTTATTGATCTTGTGTGGTCATTTACTGATTTCATACTTAAGCTTCATAAGAACCCATTTTGGCCATGGGGTTAACTTCTAAGTGTCACTTTGGAAACACTTCATACAGTAATGGTGGGGCTGTTGTGTACCCTAGTTGTTAAAGTGCTGGATCGTCACGTCAAACATCATGCCACTCATTCAATGAACCCATTGTTTTTGTCTCCGCCTGGGGCGTGGATAATGCTAAACGCAGTGAAACACTTCCTGAACCAAATGTGTAACATGTAGGAGATTATGCAATAGATTTGTGGCGAACCTTACCCCTCCTCCCCAGCAAGTGATTTCATGTGTCCATGTGTTGCTGTCGAGATGGTTTGTGTGGAAGAAGTCAGAAAGGACGGTCGTGCCACGTCTGTATAGTCGAGGACTGAGCGATGAAGCAGCTGGATTTTGGTACATGAAGTGAAGTATTTACAATCGCTGACAACATCTGAACTACCCACAAATATATGCAAAACAACGGTTAACAACGTTCAAGTTTCCTCACGATGGACTGCAAAATATGATCGAGTCATGATCTGGTAAATCGGTGACTGAAATGCATGAGCTACGCCTACCACTCGGATGCAGTCACGCGAAAATAAGTCGTCATCATGTCTTACCACCCGCTTCTGTTTTGTCATCTATTATGACTCTTCTAACTCTAACAGGAAATTAATCTAGAATGTAATCTCGTGTGAGAAATATGAAAATATCTGATCGAATATTACAGATCCTTATATTATGCCTATACACAAGGTATGTCAACGAGTAAACATTATCCTTGTGATAAAAACAACACGCAACTAAAGATGACTTATCAGATAGTGTTTTAAGTATATCTTCGCAACCCTACTCGACGCAAATGCGTATGTGTTTCTGAAACAAGATATGGCAATCTATGTACAATGAAGTAGAACCAGATACAGTAAGTGTCATGCTAGGAACACTAAATCTATACAAAGGTACCGATATACATACGTGGGATGATGTACACATTATTGAGATGATGAAGAACATCTCCGGTTGCAGACAAATATTTTACTGAATATTCCAGCACATATTTGTCAGTGAATGCGTTCTTGCTTTGAACTCTGTAAGTGAAATATCCATCAGCTGAAACAGATAGAGATAACACGCAGCAGCTGAAAGGTGTCTGTAGGAAATGGAGAGCTGTGCATTTGAATCTTGAACTAGCAGTTTTGTTATTGTGTCACATGCAAAATTATCTTATCTTCCCTATTGAAAAGAACACTTGACTTCGAGCATTTTGGACTTGTCTCCTACGAGAACCATAAACGTCATTTGGAATACACCATAAAGACGCTTCTGTATAAATCAGAACCTCAAACACTTCACGTGTAAATATTTCTATGCTACTTTATTGCAGGAAGGTTTTATTTGCAAAGTAGATAAGAATTGTCAGAAAAAAATCCCGTGTATTTACAACATGCAATTGAAGCCCTGATACTATTCCATGCAGTGTTTGTTTCTGTACATATGTACATGTACATGCATATCCATACTGACATCAGTAGATATTGTACACATGACTGACATTCATTTTTTCTATGACAACCAAAATAGAAGGATGCATTTATTAATCACAATATGTTGTCTAACTTTTATAGTTACCTTGTTTATGTACTCTAATGGTGTTGGTCAAATGAGGTAACTGTGCCTGTTGCTTCAGAAGATGGAGAGCGTACGACAGTTCAATAGTATCAACACCAGGCACGCCTGCCAAAAGAACATGCAGACGCTACATATTTGGTGTTTGTTTTCGAGTTTCAGTTTGTATGTGATCCAACTAAAGTAGAACAAACGTTTATTGTGCATCATGCACGGATGGGAATGTTAAGGGTGATGTGGACAAAAAGTCTATTCGCGCTCAACACATCCATAATATTAAGTAATAAATATCCACTTGAACATTCATTGAGTAATAGAATTATTTGAATGAGATGATCTGGTCCTCTGTCGTAAGTGATGAAATATAACCGTGAGTTATTCTCAGAACAGAACCCACATTCGATCAAAAACGGAAGCTGGAAAACAAACAAAACGCTAAAATGGTTAAAGAGTCACAACCTGATAAAAGAACTCCAGGACATTACAGATTAGTTCACACCTGTCAGATGTTGACACAAAATCTAACAACGGTCTCTGAATAGAACCATGAAGAAGATGGTTCGAGCCCAAAAGAAGGGAGAAAGTGTTATGTTTCGCAATGCTCTTATGTCATTGGCTAAATGTTGATTATGGCCTGGACACTCCAAACGATGATCTTGTGGGATTATTTACCGATTTGACAATTTCTGCATTTAAGGATTTCTTGGTTAACCTTCCGTTTCATTTTAGGAATCACCCCCACCAAGGTCCTCTGCAAACCAGCACATCAAGAAGTCACTGACTGCAAACAAGCAATGAAGGCTATTAAAGGTGCCGAATATGATTTCCGTTGCCCTCCCATGGTGCACAATCTAAATAAATTCAAAATTTAAAGTCCCATAATAACCATAATAAATGAGAGTATTGGTAACATTATGTTTCAAAAATAGTTTCGATGTACGCCGATATTCAAGGCATGGAACATTATCCAAAAAATGAAAGGTAAAGATTCGAAATCTAGCATTCAAATGTGGATCATAAGCACCCAAATATCAAAATCATCAAATATTAGTTTTGAATCAGATAATTGGAAAGGCCATAATAAATTATTTTCAATTAATGAACTCCATACTGTACTCTGAGAAAAAGGACGCGATGCTATAGTTTTATATACAAACACTGTCTCTCATTTTCGATCTTGTGAAATAGTTCGACACTGCATCGAAAGACTTACATGATTTTTGAATAATTCAATTGATCGATCCATCATTTTGTGGATGATTTCAATGTTTCCTGTGGTAGCAAACACACAAATACTACAGAAAGGCAACTGTAGTTATGTTTAAACAAAATCCAGAAATGGTCCCTTGAAAATCGCTCTAAGTTCTCAAAAGCTAATATCAACTCAATACTTGTCAAAGAGGCCAAGTTCCATGGTTTTTTTGTATTATCGGTTTGGTTTGGTTTGGTTTGTTGGTTAACGCCGCACTCAGCGATATTTCAGCTATATGACGGCGGTCTGTAAATAATCGAGTCTGGACCAGACAATACAGTGATTGACATCATGAGCATCGATTCACGCAATTGGGATACGATGACATGCGTCAACCAAGTCAGCGAGCCTGGCCACCCGATCCCGTTAGTCGCCTCTTACGACAAGCATAGTCGTCTTTTACGGCAAGCATGGGTTCTTGAAGACCTATTCTACCCCGGATCTCCACGGGTATTTGTATTTTCATTTGAGCTTTCTCATATTATTTCTGAGGACGTTTCCTCTTCATGTTAAAATGATGTTGACAAACTTATTTTAGAATCACCCATATCACAGGATGAAATTCTGGACGCTATAATACATCTAAAAAGTGAAAAAGCTGCTGGTCCTGACCATATTGTGGTTGAAATGATAAAATGTTCCAAATTTGAGCCGAGGCCTTTTCTAAAAAAAAATGTTTCAATAGGTTGTTTGATAGTGGTATATTCCCTAGAAGCTGGTCTTGTTCGGTAATTATTCCAATACACAAGAAAGGAGTTTTTAACGTCCCAGACAATTATAGGGGAATATCGATCCTTAATGAGTATATATTCTTGGAAAGATTTTTACATCAGTACTTAATTCCAGGATTACGAGTTGGGCTAACATACGAGATAAGATTCCTGAAACTCAAGCTGGTGTTAGAAAAAAAGTACTCAACGTCAGATCATATTTTCACATCATATGCAATAATCCAAAAATGTCTATCACGTCGTAAAAAAAACAAAAAACAAAAAATTATATATATTAACTATGGTACTGTTTAAGAGTGAGTAAGTGAGTTTGGTTTTTCGCCGCTTTTAGCAATATTCCAGCAATATCACGGCGGGGGACACAAGAAATGGGCTTCACATGTTGTACCCAAGTAGGGAATTGAACCCGGGTCTTCGGTGAGACGAGCTACCCCTCCGCCCCTACTGTTTAAGAACTACTGGTTAAGGGAAAATGTACTCTATATCAAAAGCTATGTATTCAAATATTAAATCATGTGTGCGATGTGGTGACAATGTAACCGATTTTTTTTTACCGTTCTGTTGGCTTACGATAAGGATGTATCTTGAGCCCGATATTGTTCTCATTTTTTATTAGTGAATTATATTATGAAATTATGGTTAAGGGTAAACATAATATTCAAATGTTCCCAAATGTAATAAAAATGTTGATGCTTCTTTTTGCCGATGATGTCCTTTTAGTATCAGATTCTGTTGTTTGACTACAAAAACAACTTTACATTTTAGAATGTTACATCAAAGAGTGGAAACTATCAGTTAACTGAGAAAAAAAAAATATTGTCATTTTCAGGTGGCACTGAATGAAGGATGTTTTTTCGTTGGTAAATGTGTTAATGTTCTGTGCCATTATACATATGTTGGTGTGATGTTTACCAACACAATGAACTTCAAGAAAAGTGTCTCGGACTTAACATCAAGTGCAAAGAAGGCCTTAATCAATGTAATGTCTGTCTCGCAGAAAGTAGGAGATTTTACACCGAATATATTTTTAAAATTATTTGAAGCCCAAATCCAACCAATCCTATATTACGATACGATAGTCTCGAAAAGCTACATCTTTTAGCCTATAAAAGATTCTTATCCGTTGGTCTGTCAACACCCAATTGTATGGTTTATGGCGAGTGTTGCAGATACCCGTTTTATATCAACTCCCAAATTAGATGCTTAAATACTGGTTTAATATTCTTTGAATGCATGAACGCCGAATCCCCATACTTGCTTCTAATATGCTTGTACATTGCAAAGTAACATGGGCATCCCATATTATAAATCTTTTGTTTTCTCATGGCTACAGTTTTGTATGGTTAACCCAAACAGTTGGTGATATTTATAGATTGTTCACGAAATTGTTTCAAAAAGATTTTATCTTTTTGAAACAATTTCGTGAACAATCTATAAATATGTTTTACCAGGAATGGCATTCTACTCTACAGTTCAAGGTATGACTTGTATAGAACTTGTATAGGACTTGTATGGAACTTTTAAGAGTCTTATTCAACCAGAAAAATACTTAACTTCATTAAAATCAAGAACCCTTCGACGTCCATTCATTCAATTTAGGCTCGGATTGTTAGATATCATGACAAATGAAGGAAGAAAAATGTCAAGTGAAAAGTCGAAGAGGTTGTGCCCATTATGTCATTCAGCTATGGAACATGAAATTCATTTTACTTTTGTATGTCCTTATTATTGTGATCTAAGAAACAAGTTTATCAGAGCGCTATCTGTCAATTTATCCTGTACCTGCTTTTATTTTTATTTTTCTTCAAAAGATGATGCTGTCATATACAAATTGGCTGTATATGCTAAAAATGCAAACAAAGTGTTAAACATGAGTATATATCCAAATATGTAAAACTACTTATTTTGAATTCTTTTGTATATGGGCCGGAGGCCTTACATGCAATAAATATCTTTGACTTTGACACACATCAAAGTAATTACGTGTTTAAAGTTGTTTCAAATTCCATGTTGGAAGGAGATCCGTCCGTCCGTCCGTACTCACCGTCCGCTTCTCAATGGAGACAGATTTTCTCAAAAACTATTTCAGTTAACTAGAGAAATGAAATTTTACACACTGATGTTACTGGTCACGATCTCAAATGAACTCGAATGTTGCGGTCTTAAAATATTTGTTTTGAAGAGTTATTGCCCTTGCTCCATGCTTTTCAACTCAGTGCATACTGCATAATATGAGGACCCATTTTCTCAAAAAACTATTTGCGTTTGATCAGAAACTGATGTACCAGTTCACGATCTCAAATGAGGAAATTGATGTCTCAAATTAATATTTAACGAGACAGAGTTATGGCCCTTGCTCAAGTTGCTAGTTACAATACGGCTGAAATACTGCCGATGTGACTTAAAAGTTTACTCACTCACTCGAAATGGGAAATTGCACCTGATCTCTCTTTTGTCACAATTGCATCAAATTTGGAAATGACTAACATAAACGTTTGTGAAAGCTTTAATAAGGACTTGAATGGTGTAACCCTAATCAAACTACATTTGAGTGACAAGAAAAGGCATGTTAAATTGGGTTGTACCTTTTACCATTTCGACGCATCTATAACTGCAGAATTGCCATTTTTGTATGTGTTAAGGAAATACGTATGTCCACATCTGTAATGCGCGATTCAATGATGATAGAGTCATTTTCGAAGAGAAAAGAAGGGTCATCAATAGCTGTCTTATCATCACTGGAATTTATACTTTCCGAGTCGAATATTTCGCTGAAATGTCTGACGACATTTGACTGGTGTAAATCAGCTCTTTCCACCAGCCATGCCCGACAATGCATGGGATCGAGGCAGGCGTAAGGGCTCAGAGTGAGTGAGTGAGTTTGGTTTTACGCCGCTTTTCGCAATATTCCAGCAATATCACGGCGGGGGACACCAGAAATGGGCTTCACACATTGTACCCATGTCGGGAATCGAACTCGGGTCTTCGGCGTGACGAGCGAACGCTTTAACCACTAGGCTACCCGACCGCCCCTGTAAGGGCTCAGAACATTGCACAGAGATTCGCTGCGCTTTAGATCACTGGGCCACTCTTGACACGTTGGCGAAATTGTGATAATGTCCAATAATCGTATGTTTTACACTTACTCGGAAAGGACAGGATTACTTCGTTCTTCTCTGCGTCTTGTTTGATAGCTGGCTGGAGAGACGCATAACAAAGCCCGGCTAGCAGTGTTGTGAAGAAAACACTGATGGCCATTCTTGACAATCAAAACATACAATGAGAACACCTACGTGAATAGTGTCTGTAATGTGTAACACGTGACATACATATCTTATCGGTCTAATTAAAGAACAAGCTGTTGTGTCTATCTCAAATGTATCACAGAAGCATGTGTTGACTTTCTGCAATTTGGCATTTATCTTTCAGTTTGAAATATAACAAACACCCACATATACTTTTCATTTTATTATCAATCAGATCATTTTAGTGTCTTGGTCCCGTTCTGTTGAGCGATCAAATAGCTACGACTGTTTGAATCTATGTAAAAAAAGTGAGGGGCTTTCGAATATTTCTAGCGCGAACAACGATCTCGGGAACGGGGCCCAGATCATGTCTAATGAGTGTTGCAATTATGCGACACTGTTTGGAACAGTTACTAATGATTCTTTTAATGGTAATGCTTATAAGTATGTATAGACCATAACATTTCCCGCCCCGTGCTTGGTCATGAGTGAATTAGGTTGCCATTTATGTTAATAGTACAATGCCCCCTCATCAACGGAAAGCACGCCCCGAAACACATAGAGTGGCTAATTTTGCTCATATTTGATACGAATCAATTCAGACCGTCGTTTGTCGCCAATGTCGCGGTCATAAAACGTGTCTCGATCTTGGATTCAAACCATGGATCATCTGAACCGAGCTCGGTTACCTTGTCCATACGACCAAACAGGCTGTCAACTTGACTCCAAACGTACATTAAACATATGATTTCCCATGTCAAATGTAACATCCGATTTTCTTTTTTTTAAAGTTTATTTCAGTATAAAGCCCATAGGCTCAAGTACAATATAGATACGTGTATTATATGCAAAGTGGTGTCGGAAATCGAACCCGGGTTTTCGGCGTGACGAGTGAACGTTTTAACCACTAGGCTACCCGACCGCCCCCATGTATATAGTGACGTACATGATGACATACCTCTGCATTTATGAAGGTTTACAATCCGATGTCTCTGCATTTATATTTTCCTAGGTGATTGATCCTTGCATTAAAATAAATTGATGTCTCCTTGCACAGTTGCACGTAGAGATCGGGGGATTATGCTTGTTCCGCACAGCTACTGATATTGCAGAACCACCTAATCACAGTGTTACATTGAACAATTTTCTAACCTGACTGTGTATCTTTCCAACTTCCACTACACCAACAGCTTTTGCTGCCTCATCAGTGCCTAAATGCACCATTCTATTGTTGAACTTCAAGAAACGATAACATTACACTGTAGACACTTTCTAGAGTCTGGTAAGCAGTTCAACATACAATATCAGTACAACGCACAATTCATCAGTGGAGAAATTTCATTTTGAACAAAACAAAACTGTTACTATACAGGCAAGCAAACCTACGACTGATAGCATAAAAAACGATGCAAGACATATGGATGCGATGACACACCTTCACTCAGGTCATGTCACGTCACCACCCAATTGTCATTTAAATATACTCTTATCCCATGGGTTCTTCCTAGTATTATGTCTTATTTGCCCTGTTATCAAATCCAATTCAGTTGATGGAACAAAATGTAAAAGATCAACGCCAGAAAATAATCTTCGGTGTGACGCGCTAACGCTTTAACCACCAGGCTACCCGACCGCCCCCCGTGACGTAAGGGAGAGGCCGTGCTGCAACCCACGAGCACGTATATGGAGGTGACAAAGCTGGAACCATAATCATCTGCAGGACAACCAGGGACTCGAACCCGTGATATTAGTCATATGCAACGCCTAAGAGACGCAACTCTGCGGCGTCTTAGAATACTGGGCAACCCGCCCCATACTGAATCATATCTTCCACAAAATATCCGTCCCCTAGAATAAACGGTACTTCTATGTTGTTTTGAGACACCATCTTACAAACTGGAAGCCAATCAAACATACCGTTGACAGAAGTAAAAATGTTTCCATGCTCATTGTATCGTTATTAACACGTACCACTTCTGAGTCACTTTTGACTTCTCCCAACCGTGTTTTCATTTTCCCTTTTGGAAAAGAAGGCACTTGAAATGGTATAAATTTCAGTGATTCTATAGTCAGCTTCCTCCCCAACGACCTGCTCATCGTTGCTAGATCGGGTGGCTTCCTGTCTTCATTTCCTACCTCCTGAAACAGTGCATCAACAGAGACATAGGAAGTGATCTTGTTCAGGGATGACTGGAACCTTTCCAGAGCTTGCTGGGACTGTTGCAACTCAGACACGACATTGTTCATTTGGGCCATGTTAGCTTTATGCGCTCCGGTGACCACCTGCTCAAGGGGTGCGTAATGTTCCTCAACTAAACTAATCCATTTAGCTTTCTGGGTCTCTAGAGCAAATGCAACTGCTGAATGGTTGTCCAACGCCTTCTTTTTCTGCTCGCGTATCCGTATCAAGGAACTGGAAACATCTTTCAAGAGAGGCTGCACTTTTCCCAAATAACCTTTAGCTATCCGTTCTATGTGCGGAATCGCATCTTTCCATGGGAGTGGATTTTGACAACGTTTATGTGTCCTTGCAATGCAATGAACACATTCAAGTTTGCTGCAGTTGATGCAAAACATAGTTTTGATTTCATCGTGTAAAGAACAGGAACTGACTGGGCGATTTGTCATCATCAATTTCATATATTGCTTCTCGTGAACAATGCCCTGAAGAGTCTCATCGGTACGGAAGCGCGATGCATAGTCTCTGTTTTGGCTTTGGGGGATTTTGAATGGTTGGTTGCATAAAGGACAAGGGACTGTTCTTGCCTTCGGCCGAGATCCGATGTATTGGTTGAGACATGATTTGCATATTCGATGAGTACAGGGTAGCATTTTGGGGTCTCCATAGACCTCTGTACAGATTGGGCAATGCAGATCTTCATCTGCTATTCCACTTGTAGCCATAGTTCACTGAAACATGTTTACAAATATTAACGAACATCTGATTACGGTCTTTCCTCATTTTAATGTTGCCAGGGAAGCGAAAAACAACAACAATAGACACAATTCTTGACCTCTATAAATTTTCACGAGAAATATTGAACTGTTGAAAATTTAAAGAAATCATTTGATCATACTGGTAAGTCTGACTGAATGTAGAATTTGTACTGACTCACGCTATAAATCGATGCGTACACCACAATGAGTTGCACATGACCCACTGCATATAAACTCACTAGAGACCGCCAGATATAGTGGGGAAAACAGGAATGATAGACTGTGTACGCTATATAAGAAAGCATAGTGTTGAACATGAACATTCTTTCACATGTTTGTATATTTCAGCCATTTCTTATGTATTCCCAACAAGTGAGTTAGTGAGTATGGTTTTGCGCCGCTTTTAGCAATATTCCAGCAATATCACGGCGGGGGACACCAGAAATGGGCTTCACACATTGTACCCATGTCGGGAATCAAACCCGGGTCTTCGGCGTGACTAGCGAACGCTTTAACCACAAGGTTACCCGACCGCCCCTATTCCCAACAAGACCCAAATTCAATCTTCTCGTCAACTGAAACTGAAACCATTTCCAAGCAATTATTACTATATCTATATCAAGCAATGTTATAAAGGTAATCTAAAATATAATGGGGAGCATGGGTAAACCAGTCGTCTAATGCGCCGCTATTCGCCGTGCAGAGTGGCGTCCATTGGACACGCTAGTAACCTTTCATCGTGGGTTCGAATCCTGGTTTGCCACAATCATGTTTCATGTCTTTCAGCACGATATTCGTGGGTTCCACCAAAGTGGTAAACGTCCAAGACATGCATCACTTCAGGCTTTCCTCCCACATTAAGCTGACACACCGTGATTTACCTGGAATACTGTTCAAAGCTGCGTTAAACCAAACTCAATCGCCCACTCTATTATGATGCTTTATATTTCCTCACACAAGATAGTGGGTTTGTAACCTGAGACGCTGACCTATATTACGTGATGAATGAACACATTTGATCGATTTTGGCGTTTTGATCTTCTTTTCATACATTATTTGTAAACACAAAGACCTGTAACTTCTGTGCAATTGTTATCCCGTATCAATTCATCTGTTTGCAAGCGTCAATTCAAGTGCTATACTGTTCAGGTGAAGAGCGTAAATAAGAAATAAACGACGAGGGGGGTGTTTATCGTACAATAAAACACTGGTGGGAGAATGAACCATTTTTGCGTCGCATAAAACCCTGATCTCCCTCTCCTATGGACCAATCAGATTCCAAAATGTAACTCAATAATACCAGCCTAGTTCGGCAAGGGTGGAAACTGGACTTTCATAGTCAGTTAACTCTCTTGCCTTGGGAAGATGGGTAATCGAGGATGAGGTCCTCAGTAACCAATGCTTTTCCAAGAGGCAGCTGAATCGGACAGGAGGTCAGGCTCGGTGACCTGGTTGATTGAGCGACCTTGAACCCCGTCGGCGTCGGACATTGTTCATCACTGTTTTTTCTGGTCAAGTCTCGATTATTTACGGGTCGTCTGACTGATGCCTTAAACAACAAACACAACAGATAATAATTAATTTCTCTGTATGACACGACGTCGTATTTCCATTATGAGAACTAGGCACACTGTGTGGTCTAGTGTGACCTTTTGCTGAATAAAATGTATGTCTGTTGAAAGGTCCTTTCCTGTCTAATCCTGTTTGAACGATAGTCAAGCAAGAGTTATCTTTCCATGACACGTCACCTATTAACGAGGTAGTGGCACTGGATTAATCATGCGTGGGTAAAACTTTATAGGAAAGGATCGATGCATATTCTACTGTGATTTAGCATTCGTGGGTGTAGTGTATTTTGTAAACATATCACCAAATAAATTAATTCCGAATCTACGGATTGATGTTAATACCCAACCACCACCAAACTCGTGGTCACAGCTACAACTTCGTGTCGTGTACTTTGACCCGATATCTCCCACCTTTGTGTCCCCGACCCGTATTTAACTATAACTGATCCATATATGACAGTCAGAGTAAACGGGTGACCTGATCTAACACTAGACCCACCACTGTACGTTCGAATGTTCATATTCAGCTTGCTTACCGTCTTTGTACTCCTTGTTGACAAATCGTGCACACCTCGCGTAATAGAAATACGGTGACCGTCGAGCGGGTTTGGAAAGGGAAGTAACTCTGTCTCAGGTTTAACGACAGCAAACGAAGCGTAGTAAAATACATACACGGTCTTCGCCTATTGAAGTGTGGGTTTCATACAGATTGTCAGATGACGAATTTGTCAAAGAAGATATTTTAACCTTTTATTAAATGTATTTATCCCCAATTCATGTGCCTAATCAGGTGATATGTCAATTATCATATCCTTTTTGGTAAGTTTCAAGAAAGTGAATCTAGTATTTTACATGGAGTCTGGATATTGTTCCAGCTGCAGCTGCAAAACCGGTAATCCTTCAATTAAAACTCAATTTAAAAAAAGAGATTAGTTCGTCCTACAACAATGTATTTTTGGCATGCAATTTTATTTTATCAGTATGATGCTTAATTATTTTTTCTATGAGACAATATATATTTTTAGATAATATGGCAGCAAACCCTCTCTTCACCCAGAATATCAGATGGGCGGTCCCTAAGCAATATTGCAACATTGTCGCAACACTCAACAACACTTAGTAACACTGTCAGTAACAACAAACAACACCCAGCAACATTCAACAACACTTAGTAACATTGTCAGTAACAACAAGCAACAGCAAGCAACATTCAACAACACTTAGTAACACTGTCAGTAACAACAAGCAACACCAAGAAACATTCAACAACACTTAGTAACACTGTCAGTAATAACAAGCATCACTCAGCAACATTCAACAACACTTAGTAACATTGTCAATAACAACAAGCATCACTCAGCAACATTCAACAACATTGGGTAACACTGTCACTGACAACATGCAGCATCAAGCAACATTCAACAGCATTGAGTATCACTGCCAGCTACAGCATGTAACATCCAGCAACATTCAACAACACTGAGTATCACTGCCAGCAACAGCAAGTACCATCCAGCAACATTCAACAACACTGAGTATCACTGCCAGCAACAGTAAGTAACATCAAGCAACATTCAACAACATTAAGTGTCTAAGCCAGCAACAGCAAGTAACATCCAGCAATATTCAACAACACTGAGTATCACTGCCAGCAACAGCAAATAACATCCAGCAACATTCAACAACACTGAGTATCACTGCCAGCAACAGCAAGTAATATCCAGCAACATTCAACAACACTGAATATCACTGCCAGAAACAGCAAATAACATCCAGCAACATTCAACAACACTGAGTATCACTGCCAGAAACAGCAAGTAACATCCAGCAACATTCAACAACACTGAGTATCACTGCCAGCAACAGTAAGTAACATCCAGCAACATTCAACAACACTGAGAATCACTGCCAACAACAACAAGTAACATCCAGCAACATTCAACAGCACTGTGTAACACTGTTAGTAACAACAAGCATTATGAAGCAACATTCAACAACACTGAGTATCACTGCCAGCAACAGCAAGTAACATTCAGCTACATTCAACAGCACTGTGTTACACTGTTAGTAACAACAAGCATTATGAAGCAACATTCAACAACACTGAGTATCACTGCCAGCAACAGCAAGTAACATTCAGCTACATTCAACAGCACTGTGTTACACTGTCAGTAACAAAAAGCAACATGAAGCAACATTCAACAACACTGAGTATCACTGCCAGCAATAGCATGTAACATCCAGCAACATTCAACAGCACTGTGTAACACTGTCAGTAACAACAAGCAACACCAAGCGACATTCAACAACACTGAGTATCACTGCCAGCAACAGCAAGTAACATTCAGCAACATTCAACAGCACTGTGTAACACTGTCAGTAACAACAAGCAACATTCAGCAACATTCAACAACACTGAGTATCACTGCCAGCAACAGCAAGTAACATTCAGCAACATTCAACAGCACTGTGTAACACTGTCAGTTACAACAAGCAACATGAAGCAGCATTCAACAACACTAAGTATCACTGCCAGCAACAGCAAGTAACATTCAGCAACATTCAACAGCACTGTGTAACACTGTCAGTAACAACAAGCAACACAAAGCAACATTCAACAACACTGAGTATCACAGCCAGCAACAGCAAGCAACATTCAGCAACACTGCCAGGTACATTCACCTCGAGGTTGGGGCAAAAGTAGACGTTATTGTCCAGTGTGACGTGACGGAGCTTGTCAGTAAAATAGGGTGTCTGGTGCACATGACATGAAGGTGATTGCCAGGAATAGAACAATGTAACTGATAGTCTGCAAATGTTCCGAGAAAACAATATCAATTGTTTCTTATTGTGTGCCACAGCCAGGAACGTGATGTCATCAACCAGAGCCGGGGAACTCAAGTCATACCAGGCAAAGTCGAAGTGACCCAACAGACAACGCGGGCATGTGGGGGTGAAAAACGTAGCTGTGGACTTCGAACCCAAGCTAACTCTATAGAGACTATATTACTGCCGTGTCATCTTATCTCGGATAAGACGTGTTTCGGTACACGTGCTGGAAAGTTACAACAACGCAATTGCATTTCTGAAGGTCGCTTTTTATATCAGATAAACCCACAAAACGCCGTCGGGTGCACGCTGGACTGAGACACGGTGTGGTGGTCTAATGGCTAAAGCGTTCGCAGGTCACGCCGATGGCCTGTGTTCCATTCCCCACATAAACAAAATGTGTGAAGCCCATTTCTGGTGTCCATCGACGTGATATTGCGAAAACATCACCAAAAGTGGCGTAAAACCTAAACCACTCAACTTTGATACTGAGAGTACTGATTTGTCTTTTGTAAGTACTACATGAAGTACTGAAGTACTGATCATGAAGATACGAGTTAGAATAAGTATTCAGCAAACCATCTTGTCATAACTAAGGGCAACTAAAGGGAATCGAGTGAGTGAGTGAGTGAGTGAGTGAGTTGGATTTAACGCCGTTTTCAGCAATATTCCAGCAATATCACGGCAGGGTACACCGAAAATGGGCTTCGCAAATTGAACACATGTGGGGATTCGAACTCGGGCCTTCAGCGTGACGAGCGAACGCTTTAACCACTAGACTGCCCAACCGCCCCCTGACTTGGTTGATGCATGTCATCGTATCCCAATTGCGTAGATCGATTCTCACAATGTCAATCACTGGATTGTCTGGACAAGACTCGATTATTTACAGACCGTCGTCACATAGCTGGAATACTGCGGAGTGCGGTGTAAAACAACAAACAAACATACAAAGCATGCAGCGAATGTGTGTGTCTGCTTGTACCGGTCCGGACTTACGCTTTTATACTTGGTGAGTGATGAGTTGGGTTAAACGCCGCTTTTAACAGTATTCCGGTCATATCCCGGCTTGTCAGCTTAATGTGGGAGGAAAGACCGCAGTGATGCAGGTCTAAGAGGTTTACCACTTTGGTAAAACTCACGAGCACGGGCGTGGTGCTGACGAACTATGAACATAATAGGGGAGAACAGGAATTTGAACCAACAATCATAGGTTTCTGGCGTGCCCAAGACACGCAACTCTACACAGCGAATTGCGGCGCCTTAGCACACTATGGCACCCGTGCCCCGCCATTTTTTTTTTTAATCCAAGGCCCCTGAGATACCATTTGGCAGTTTAACATGGCTATAATACACAGCCGAAAAGTCCTTGTTTTATCCCCTTAACACCGAGCGGCAGGCATGGCAACTACAAGTACAATCTTATAACGTCTCCTGGTATAACGCAGCAGACCGATCTTCCGCTCTCTGGGCATAGGTATATATCCACTGCACCTAGGACGCGGTAAATTCGGCAGCAGATTACCGTGTGTAGTTGCTTCCTCTCTCGCTCTGGTCTATACACTGTTCCTACGCAACTTATTACTGATCGAGGGTTTCACCAAAGCAGCAAATGCGCCGCTATGGGCTTCCTCCCACATTAAAATCAAATGCTGAAATGTAAATACAACACTGTAATGTATGGAATCCTAGAAGGGACAATGTCGCGTCGTCACCCTTACAAAAACAAGCAAAGAAACGTCGCGTTTTCGCATTTTGGTTAACTTTGACACTTTTTGTTTGTTGATTTAAGGGCGACAATGCGACAACGCGACAGTGTCCCTTCTTGGGTGTGTACTAAATGTCTTCATTATTCAAAAGCGTTCTATGTTCCTACATACAGTGCATGATTGGGGTTTGCTTCGTTATGCGATATATGCATATCGGTGACTTTACTTGATGACGGGGCTCGTGTAGATCCGTGTTAAAATGGGTCTTCAGTAAAACCCGTGTTTGCCGTAACAGGTGACTATGCTTGTCGTGAGAGGCGATAAACGAGATCGGGTGGTCAGGCTCGCGGACTTGGGTGATGCATGTCATGGAATTGGTTGTTGCATGCCATCATATCCCAATTGCGTAGATCGATGCTCATGATGTCAATCACTGGATTGTCTGGTCCAGACTTGATTATTTACAGACCTCCGTCATATAGCTGGAATATTGCTGAGTGCGGCATTAAACAACAAACAAACAAAAACGTGATGACAAGGAGCGGAAGGTCGATCCTCCGCGTCATACGCTTCAAGACGTTACATATGGTACTTATTGTTACCCTCCCTGGTGCTCGGCATGACGGGAGGTCAAAACAAGCACTGGTCGGCTCGGAGTCAGTATAAAGTGTCGCCTGAGAGATTCTATCAAAGAAAAGCGGCGAGGAATGCTGCCTGCTGGAGTTCTACCATTTCATGACAATGCCTCTTCCCACATCTCTCGACTTGCAAAGGGTTGGGAGAGCTTTCTCACCCACCATACTCGCTAGACCTGGCAACAAGTGATTTCCACCTGTTTCCTAAACTGAAAGAACACCTTAGTGGAAAGCGCTATGACGACAACGGTGCCCTCAAAGCTGCCGTGAATTTCAGATGCTTATTTCAGGGTGGCTTCAGAAAACCTCTTCCTGAGTGGAATTGGTTGCCTTCCGCTCTCTGGGCATAGGTATATATCCACTGCACCTAGGACGCGGTAAATTCGGCAGCAGATTACCGTGTGTAGTTGCTTCCTCTCTCGCTCTGGTCTATACACTGTTCCTA